CTTCAGACAATGTTTGGAGTTAGATGTTCAAGGGTTAGGTGTAACAAGTCGATCGGTGTAATACAGCCAGCTGCCGGCGTGCCGCGTGCCTGCGAAGCTGGCGTGTTACGCCGAAGGGCGGTTATACCGGCTTACAGATACACACACGGCCTTGTAGCGGTCATGTGCCCAACAATGTAAATAGTAAACACGGCTGAAGCTTAGCAGAGTCGGTATGACAAAAACATTACGTAATGTCAACTTTGCCTTCTGATAAGGCCCCTAGTCCTGGTGAAATGCAACAATAGTCCTGGTGTTTTTCACTAAGTCCTTTAGTTAGGGACAAACCGTTATATTCACCAATACAGTATGGGTGGCCCAAAATATTTACACACACGTTTGTTACGCTTCTTGTTTTTGTACGTTGAACTACGTTAATTTTTATTTCGTCTAACATTTTTAAAACGTTAAATGATTTTCGTTTTGTTTTGCATTGTCTGTTTTGGGAAAGGATCAGTCAGTTGAAAAATATCGAATTATAAGATCGCATTTCGTGCTGTGGCAATGGTAAATAGAACTCTTCATTTGTATGATATGAGGTATCAATTTTTAATGATGTGACGTCACGTCTGGTGTGTCAATCAACGATGTTCTTTTAGCGCGGGAATCCAGTGGCAGTGACGTCACTGGGATATGGGTGAGGCGAATACTAAAATTTGGAAGAAAAGAAAAAGATCATTGAAATCTAAGTTAGAATTTAGAACACATATTCCTTCATACCTTGCGGCTGGGTCATACCACTCCATGAAGAGGTGGACTTTTTTTAAGTAAACTCGCCAACCTCGAGTGCCCGGATGTGGAAAGTGTCTGTGAAGGTCTCCACCTGTTTTTTCCTGGCAACTTCTGAGGCCCCGTCCTTGGCATTCTTTATGTGTTGGAATGCGATGGAGAAAGAAAATAGACCTTCTTGATAGATGCGTTACATTTTGTAGGTCTTTTTAGTCAAATCAAGAAGGTTTTAAACCTCCTTGCTTAAAAAGTAAACCTTTTTGTCACCGAAAAGAAGGATTTAGAAAAGTGCAACACCTACTAGTACTAGTGTATATGCCAGGAAATTAGCAAGAGAGCCCTATTTTGAGTTACTTTATCAGAGATTTTGACAGGTTTATAGTTTACAATAATTTGCAGGTGCGCCAATACACGTCTATACAAGTCCTTGTCAAACATCCTATATGACAGCCGGTTCCGAGTGGCCTGGATTCTGGGGTATGTTTGGTGTATGTCCAGTTCGGTTCAATAGTTTGTTTCTTGTAGCCTCTACCGGGCTTCGGGAGGTGGCTTGAAAGAGTAGAAATCGGTCAAATCCCTGGGTCAAATAGAGAGATAACTTGCCGAGGGAGTTGGTCCGCTAGAGAGAACATTTTGCCGCTAACTATTCTCTCCAGTAGACCAACTCCCCTGGCATGCTATCTCTCTACTGGATACTGACTGGCCAATTTGATACTGTCATAGAATTAAAGATCTGCTTGGAGATTAACCTATGATAATACACTGACGAAGACGAAAAGAGAACATTACTGTTTGTAAACAGTAATTACAACCTTACAATTGATAGACTGTCTCTCATCACGAGATCTAAGAGCCCCCCGGCAGTTGTGTGTCATCAGGTTTTATTGATGGCTCTTTAAGCGACAGGTGTTCCGGAGCCTGCAGGTACACCCGAATACCTGCGCACATTTTCGCCACGCCCTAAAGTGTATTGGGAAAGTGACGCACGGGAAATAGGTACTAATCGCCCATTTTCACTTTTACACACACACACACACACACACACACACACACACACACACACACACACACACACACACACACACACACACACACACACACACACACACACACACACACACACACACACACTCACACACACACACACACACACTTCCTCTGTGTGTGTGTGTGTGTGTGTGTGCGCGTGCGCACGTGTGTGTGCTTACATGCGTGTGTGTGTTTGTGTGTGTGTGTGTTTGTGTGTGTGTGTGTGGTTAGTTTGCACTTCTTTGCACTTCGTTTGAAACAAAACAAAAAGTACGTCGATGAAGGTTAAACATCCAGGTAATAAGACACGTCAAAAAACAGTTACAGATATGATTTTGACAGTTATTCAGCTACTCAAGCAACTGGCTATGATTCCAAAACCATATCCAGTTGCTTGAGTAACTGTTTTTTGGCAAAAGAAAAAGTGTTTCACTCCATAGAAGTCTAACAGACGGCACTTGGTAAACGCCTCTCCACAGTCCACATACTCACACCTACATCCATGACAGTCTGAGCAAATCGATCAACGTTATGTTAAACAGTCGTGGCGGCGGGCTGGAGGAGTGATCACGCCGTGATCACGCTCTGTTCACATGCACACCCGAGTCACGTGTGGATGCGGTCCTCCATGCTCGTCACGTGCGTTTAGGTGTGTTCATCTACAAACCATCTTCACGTTTTTACCGTTACGATAACCGGTCTTTTTAACAGCTCGGATTTATACTAATGCTGATAAGGTTATCCCAGCGATTTATCAGGTTAGTGGTGATTTTTTTATCACGAACGATAGCTATAATGAACGACGCAACACCAAATTTTATCACATCGTAGTATCCAAATCTTCCCTATGCTTACATCTAATGATATCGCTACTTGATAACGTTATACTTATAGTTGTGACAATTGATAATAGACCACCTGTTAAAAAGGATTTTACGTTCGTTTTTTTTCTTATTTTTCATTTACTCCTGTATTTTTATTTTGCCACGCCTATGCCCGTACCTTAGTATTGTTACACGTATGCGCTCATAGTATATATGTAAATTGGTAGCCACTAAGGAATTTCTTACGGCCTCTTTGATGTCCTTAATGGGCATTAATTATATGATGTGATATGTGGTATGATATAGGTGGGGTATTTAATATTGTGTTTCATTTCTGACTTTGACAAATATTTCTGAATTCTGTGGGAACTTACTGAATTGAAGAATCAATGATTTGCATATCCGCATCCTTGACCAAGTTAAGGACACAAATATTAGTACATGTATCACGTTTCCCTTTTAATCCTATAATCTTTTAGTTCAAGTGTCAGTTCATACCTACATACAAGTAGTGAAGTACCATTGTTAGGGATATCATATAACTGATGCTGTCTACCCTAATAATGGATTCGACAATAGTACAATCTCTTTTGGTATCTGCCAGACAGTATCAAATTGCCGAAATAGTATCCATTTGAAGACAGTGTCCATTTGCGATTGGCTGGCGTAAAAAAAAGATAACAGTACAAAAAAGCGCTGTAACTGCCTTAAAACACGTGAAAAATAAGCCGAAAACCAAACCTCTGCATGGATGGTAAACATATACATCTCACAGACACAGACTGGGTTTTGCTGTATGGTCCCAGCTGTGTGACAGTTATCCATGTAATGTTTTATGCAAACTTGGATTTTCCCGCTAAGTCACTACCACTCGTCACACATACTGATATACTGTACTCTAGATTGATTTAAGTTAGCCTACGTGCCATCCGATTTGTAACGGCAACCCCGAAACATTTTTGGGGGGGTTTCCGTTACAAATTGGATGGCATCCAGGCTAGATTTAAGTTCGCCGGGCTTGATTTTAAGGTAGGAAGGTAAGAAGGCGTTCTAAGATTGCGGCTGAAGCATCTATAGCAATACAAAGAAATTTAGGTGATATATTCTCATGTATTCTCGGTGTAATATACGAGTTCTCGAATATAAAACCGCCGCAAAAATTTTAAGATCTGCCGTATCAACTGCTATTCATCCGATGGCGTATCATGTGTAGCTTTCCAATGATACCACGCTTTACCAATAGTCCAAGCCTACAATAGCGCTAACCAGATACATGTATGTAGATCAATGATATCCAAAGCAAGCTGTGCTATCCTGTGTAGAGATACGCAGCTGTTGACATCTAACCTAGATATATTATTGTCAATATTGGTATCAATGTGTTGCTAACTATACAGGATAACTTATAATTAGTTATCTGAGTGATTAATTTGCGTTGTAGAATGTTTTGATTCTCTAAATAGTCACACACATAGTTACGTTTCATAAAGTATCGTGAAATGACGTTCAATAAAATTTTGATCGAACGACATAAATTTGGTCGCCGTCCGACCCTAAAAGTTCAATAGTATCGCCCGCCGTGAGGTACTAAGCAATTACATGCTGGGATGTACCAATTCCCTCAAGGGTAGGAACCTGCAAGCGAAGATTCAGAACTGTGTTAGTATTTCGCATACAGAAATCTTCAAGCAGATATTGAGTGAATACACTGTATACTAGTAGTTTTCTTTTTGTCCCAGAATCCTACTTGTACATTAAGGTATTCTTTTCAGAAAGTAAACTCCTAGTCTAGAAGAGGTCTAGTGTTTTGGCTGGCAGATGATTGTGAGGTGTGTTTTAAAACATTTGCTTCTAAAGAGAGTTGGTTTTCCATTATGATAATTCCCAATGAATGAATGTACATGAACATTATACAGAACATATGTTTAAGATTGTCGATATAGCCTTGACTACTTGACAACTTAAAGGCTTTGTAATGTAAACACTACACAGGTGCACCCGCCTTACTCAATCTACCTCTGACAGTCCCCTTTTGTAGGCTTTTCCGATAAACGAAAGTGTCACAGTGAAAGTGACAATAGTACGTCTAAACCGTTTCAAACGTTGTGCATGTATCGGAAAATAACAATAGACCAGGCGCGTGACTTCTCTTTTCTCGTTCGTTCTTTATTTCCTTCTTTTCCCGCCCTTCCGAGCGACATTGTAGTCTTAGAGGGGCGTTGGTATTGAGTCAATAAACCATAATAGTCGTATACAAAAGGCAAGGGGCTCTTATATGTTACGAGATGTTAAACATTGATAAGATATGTACACACTGCGCGCGCCCAGTCATTGTATGTTGTTATACACCATAACGTGACTCAGAACAGCTTGGTCGCGCTGGGGAGCAGTACTGTTTTTGTTGTGGTCCGTAACAAAGATAAAAAAAGACGTAGAACTTTTCAACTTACAGCTTCTTCTGTCTATACAGGACGTCTTCAAGTCTTGAAGAAGTTTGAGAGAACGTAAGGAGCTACACTACGAAAAGGTAAAGCCTTAAACGTAAGTAAAACTACCTTTTTTTTACAACAATGTACTTTTGATTGTTTCATGCTTTCTCAGTACTTCAGTAGCACTCAAATGATTGATAACTGATTGATGTAACGAGTTTTTGTTCTTAATTATCATTATACTTACTAGAGAATTCTTTCAGCAGTGACAAGTTTTGAAGAGTAAGAGTACTAACCTCCAAATTTCCGATGACTGTCAGCCCGTCTTGTTCAAAACTTGTCACTACTGAAAGAATTCTCTAGTCACTGTAACTATACGTGACATACGAATATCTTCAACTATAATTATCATTAGTTGTTATACTTAATTGATTCTAATTGTCCAGAACGTTTTAAATCTATCGTCTTGTTTCCTTGCTTGTGAAAATGGCGCGTAACGCCTACACCGGCCTTCAAGTCTGTTCCCTAACACCGCTGGTACTCAAACAAGGATGTTTAGTCAAGCAGGGCGTGCGTCCACCTTACACAACACACAAGATCTCTACAAACACACAATACAATACAAGAACGAATTACAGAAGAACATATAGAACTAGAACTTGATCAGGCGCTTTCCGCTAAAGGTTACAACGTCTGCTTTTTTCATTTATTGTTTGGTGGTTGATTAATGGTATAACTGCCCGGGTCCAATACTGAGCGCCTTTTGTAGCCTCCGTAGCAGGCTTATAGAACTGGCGGTTTGGTGGTCTTCGGCTGTTTTCTGATTAGCCCAGTTCTAAAAACGGGGGTAATTCAACCAGGCCGGCTATGTTGTCTATACGCAATCAGAAAATAGCACATAAAAGCTCCTGAAGACCCCCAAAACCCACAGTTTTTGGCATGCTATGGAGGCGACGCCTTTTGGTGGTATTATTTGTGGAACGATGTAAACAAAAACGATTCAACCCGCCCAGTTTAAGTACGTCACGCAGGTTTAGTATTAAGAGGCCATGTCATAAATATTGCTGACGCAATATTGACGCGTTTTCTTCAAGATTTCGCGTCATTTCTTCGCATTAGTTTGGCAACATGTAGCAAGTTTTACATACACCACATCTTCAGCGGTTCTGTACTTTATGTTTAGTTATTAAATGGCCGCATCAACGTCGGAAGGCGCCGTACGGTCTAGTTTGTTCTAGGAAAACAAGGTTGTAAATCATGTGAAAAATGAGTACAAAATTCTCATAAAACACACGTGAACATGAATTATTGCCTCACATGATCTACTCGACATGTTATGTGTGAAAGATATCGCGGAGGAATGGTTTACCTATCTGTAATTAGCGGGTATTTCCGTTCCTTTAGTTGAAGTTGTCCTCTCGGTGAGTTTACATTGCATGCTTACTTTCCCACCGCGGTCTTGTGACGCTTTTCTGGGCGGATAAAATTCATCGTGCAGTAAATAAATCACCCGACTGTACTGCGAATCGTAAAGCCTCTGTCACACATACAGGACCTTCCCGCGACTTTCTCCCGACCACCTCCCAACCAAGTCCAATTGCCCACTTGCCCCGGGCAAGTAAAAGTACTGTTTGGGCAAGTGCATGTGCCCCTAGGATTGGGCACGTAAATTTTTTGGATGCAAAGTATAGCCGCTACTGTGTTTGGAGCAAAATTACTCATCATTTTGCCATAATGATATTATATTAATGCCCTTTTGTCAAAAAATCCATTGCAAGTCTGAAACCGTCTTACTTACTTACTATATATAAAGTATGCAGCATAAACTCTAGAATAAAATAATTTCCTTGCCGGTAGTAAAAATGCATATAAAAATGTCATGTATATTTTGTACAAGTAAAAAGTTGGTTCGGGCAAGTGGAAATGACCATGTACTTGCCCAATCGGGCAAGTGGATTTTTGACAACTTGTCCAACCCTGGCGTATGATCGGTACGTGAGCCAGGGGCGTAACTTTTTTTTATTGTTGGGCTGGCGTCACACTTTTTTAAAGTATGTCAACTTCTCTGTCTTTCTTCTTTTGGCCAAAACATTTTTTGTTCCTTATGCATAACCGGTAAACTGCCATTTTAGGCGTAACACACCATTTTGTGACGAACACCGACCCACCGCTATATATTATAAACGACCATAACTGAACCACATCTGTCACCTTTATGAACACAAACCTACCGCAAAACGATCACAATTCGTGTTTTCAGTCGCACATTTATATACCAGTCGCAACAATCATCTAACATCTCCGCACTCCTCAAACAGTTCCATACGTTTAGTGCAGTTTACGGAGAAACACAATAAAAATCGTTCCACAGTTCATCTGGCACCAATTGTAAATCACTTGATAACTCCCCTAACCCTTTACAACCCATTATTCCGACCGCAGGTGTGTCCATAAGACTCTATCACCGCCACGCAAGACACCTGTACAAACCCGGTCCCGTGTTGAAACAACGCCCGGCTTGAAATACTTCAACTCCGACACATCTTGCACCTAGACAAACGAGCAAACAGACCAAGAGAAAAGTTCCAGAGACTCGGTCGCTTGTCTACTTGCGGTTTTCAAGAAGAAGAACGAACAGTTTCTAACAAGATGGGAGACGAGGTGATAGAACAGAACGGAGTGGAGCTGTCGAACGTGGAGGCCGGCACTGGTAAGGAGAAGATCGTGATGGAGGAGGATGAGTCGGCTGACGACCGCCCCGCCTGGGACAACAAGATCCAGTACCTGCTGTCTCAGATCGGCTTCGCTGTGGGGCTGGGAAACGTCTGGAGGTTCCCGTACCTGTGTCAGAGGAACGGCGGAGGTCAGTAAAGCTCTAATGTACTTAAGTTTGAAATTCTGTGCCAGGAATATCCATAAAGTTGGCATTCCTTGGCATACTAGCAGAATAGAACAGAAGTTAGGAGAATAGAACAGAAGATTAGAACAGGAGAATACTGGTTAGAAGAATTAGAACAGAGGAATCGAACATTAGAATAGAACAGAAGAATACTGGTTAGAAGAATAGAACATAGGAATCGAACATTGGAATAGAACAAAAGAATAGAACAGAAGAGTACTGGTTATGGAAAAATAGAACAGAGTAATCGAACATTAGAATAGAACATTAGAATAGAACAGAAGAAGGTTTTCCGTAGCAAGACTGTTGAATTTTGCTCCAACTCACTTAGATAGGTTTGAAGAAGAATGTTACGTCATTTATCTCAGAAGTGACTCAAGTGAGAGCAATCCCTGTTTAATGATTGGCCAATGGAAAGTTCCACTGATAAGATAACACTAACGTCCAAAGGCTGCGTATCTGCTATATGGTCCGAACAAAGACTTCTATTTTAACATCAAACCGCAAATGAAGAAGTAAAGAGATGAACAAGATATCAAATCGACTGGAGTAACTGAAGCTAAACAACGAAGAAGTGAAAAATATTGAGACAGTTACTTAAAATCTGGGTCCGAAAAAAGTCATGAAAATGTCACGTTTAAATCCGTGAATAGTTTCATCAGGTTGGTAAGTCACTGAGTAAAGAGACTCTTTTTTACAGAACCAAGTCTTTTATTCAGCCGACGTTTCGGTGACCGTCTGTCACCTTCCTCGGGATTGCCGGTCACCGAAACGTCGGCTGAATAAAAGACTTGGTTGTGTAGAAAGAGTCTCTTTACTCAGTCACATTTAAAGCTAGCAATATATACTGGCGGGTATGGAATATATGATTTCTGCCTTTAATTCAGAAGTAGTATTTTTTTCAGGATGTTTGTATGTCGCAATTTATACATGTAGATCTTTTCTAGATTGTGACGTACCTCAAATGTGGCTAAGGAAAACGGTGGCCTATTTGCAGATACTAGAGAATCAAACTACCGCCTTTATCAAATACGTTCTTGGTGAACAGAAAGCAACACAGGCTTTATAACAGTCAACAGACACCTGTCAATCTCAGAAACGTCTCTTTGTAAAAGGGGCCACATCAATCATTCAAGTGGGGGGTGGGGCGTTGCCTATCGCTTGTATTGTATCACGTATATATAGCCTTTTTTGAGGCCGTTGGGCCAGTGGGTTGTCAATCCACTGTGTCTAGCTATAGGGCATGGTATTGGAAGGTGGAGCCCACCCCTCTCCTTCCACTGCCTTTTACCTCCCCAACCAAAGTCAGGCACACATTTTACACCTGGGTGGAGTGAGGAAAGTCGTGTGAGGTTCTTTTCCCAAGGACACAACGTCTAATCCAAAATGCCAGGACTCGAACCCATGACCTCTCGATCCAGAGTGGCCACTGTCATGTTTCAGACAGTCTTATTAAACCGGTGTGAATGATTAACGTGACCTCGAACATTGCCATGTGTGGTAGGATGTAGAGTGGACACGAAATGAACCCATACCACAGTAACCAACCGGTCAGCACAGGTGGCCCATTAAAGGGGCGTTGTCACTAACGTGGAGTAGAAGTGTGTAAGAGGGTCAACCTTCGGGTACTGGGTCCGGAAACTTGTCCGAGCTTTTCTGAAATCGAATTACAAGGAAATATCTATAAAAAGGTTTTGAATGGGTTAAGAAATAAGAATTTAAATCTAGCACTATTCTGCAGTTTTGTTTTGTTTTTCAAGCAAAAAAAAAATACATTTTTCTTAATCTTTTTCCTTTTTGTATTTGAGGTTTTTCTTTTTTTTTCAGTGCTTTCGTTTTACTTTTGAAGTTTGGTCTGATCTATCAACCGTAATCTTTCCTTATGCCTGTTTTCATTGCCTACGCCATATTACGTCACGACTTGTGAACGGCGCCATATGGCAAGGCGGGGAACTAACGTCACACGTCCTTCAGAGCAAGCTGACGTCTTTACGTAGTTTGTTTAAAGGTTCTTCAACATCTTCTTATTCATCACCGATATAACGTAGTCATCATTTGAAAAATAGAGGAAATACGATTGAGATACTACTACTACTACACATACAAAGCGCACAGACTTGAGACTTAAGCTGCGTGCGAGTTTATTTCCTAACTGGTTTTCTGGCGTATTACTGCTTTAGAAGATATTGCATGTAGCTATAGACCACCTAACGATTGACCTCGGTTCACTGACCGCAGTTCACTGACAGTTAGTTCCCCTTCTTACGTCCAAATTAAACATCGCGTCTTCCCTCTAACACCTTTATTTAGCCGATTATACAAGATAGTGTCCACGTCTGCGTGTTTCCAATACTTCTCCCCCGGTCTGAACCTCCAAGCCAGGATTTATTAGGAAGACTCGAACACTTGGCGGCTGTGCACACATTCACTCACGGCTAACCATATATAGCCAGACTGGTGACCTACTAACATCCATAATGTGCACAGTTTTGGCGACAGACATACACAGATTTCCTGGTTTGTTGCCAATAAGTATTGAACATTTTCTGTCGGAAAACGTATTGTTTTTGCTCTGTTTCTTCTTGTTCCGTTCCTGATCAATGCACCAGACTCTCTCTCACCATGGTAACTGGTATTGGGTTATGTTGCAATTTTATAGTAGGAGGGATTTATACTCCTGTCACATGTGTGAATGTGTTTGAGTAAGTATTAGGCTTAGGTTTAGGCTTGTTTTGACGTGTTTCAGACCTTTTTATCGGGCTTTCGTTTTTGTACTGGTTACTGCTCTGTCAATGATACTGTCTTGCCAATTCCATACTGTCTTGCATCAAACCAAAAGACCTGCTTTGAGATTAAAGACTATTCTAGCAGTAAGGCCAATGTTTAAATCGGTAATGTAAGTTTATGAAGACTTTTTGCCAATTTGAAACTTTCTTCCTACCTTTTGGCGTGGAAAAAAACGTAATTATATAACGTCCGAGAGGTCAGGTCACACTGACAAGCCCTGTCACGAATGACCTGCTATGTTTACTGTGGTCTGTTTAGTCGCACAGACATGAGAGCTAATGACTGGGTTGACCAAGCCATTAAAAGACTCGGACCATTACACAACGACACTTGTGTAAACCCCACAAGCTTGCAAAGTTTTGGGTACCAAAGTATTTAGGAATTGTAGGAATTTGTATTTATATTTTTTGGTTATGATGTGTGAATTGGGTTCGCTCTTTTGAATGACCGTAGATAAAAGAATCAAATATTTTTTTTCAGAATTTTTAGTCAACGTTGTTTGATTTATTGGTCAAACTACTAAGTCATCATGTCCGAACACCTCTTAAGGACAAATTGTATGATGCAATCCTCCATAAAGATCTTAAAGTATGCCGAAGACTACTTGATGTAGTATCCATAAAGTCCTAGTGAAATAAAAGTTAAAGGGGACATAAATAGCATCTCTATAATGTTCCCTTTTCATTGACTACCGCAATAAGCATGCAATCTTCTGAAAACTACCATGTACTTTGAAGGAATAGCCCAATAAGATGAATGTAGGCTGCTTCTAGTTATTTATTGCTGGTACTAGTACCAAAAAAGACAAAGGGATTCTTCACATAGCTTGATACTGGGTTATTTCATACGCTTTAAGTAAGATTAATGATGGCAAAATGTGCTAAGAAATGACAGTAAATGTCAATATGAGACAGATCTTCTCATCCAGAATATCTGTTGCTTAGTCGCCCTCTGTATCTGTATCTGTATAGCCGTTATAACCGCCATTTGGCGCAACACACCAGCTTGTACTTAACTAGCATGTATTGGATGCCTTGAAACCCAGGGGCTCCTATACCTGGTATTGGCTAAGTACATACATGCCCCATCTTTTTGCTTTAATACCAACAAAGTAGAGATAGTAGGTTAAATAAGTAGATCGTAAACGTAGAACTTAGCATATAGTTTGATATTACTACATTCTGTACTCAGTGTTCTTGTCAATGTCTGTTTGCAATTCTATTAGCCCTCGGGCATGAAATGAAATCAAAATATCTAAACAATGTTGTTGTTTCTGATCACCCCAGGTGCGTTCCTGATCCCGTATTTGATCATGCTGGTGATCGAGGGGATCCCGATCTTCCACCTGGAGTTGGCCATCGGACAGCGGATCCGGAAGGGATCCATCGACGTGTGGAACCAGATCAACCCGTTGCTAGGCGGGGTCGGCGTTGCCATGGTAGCGGTGTCGTTCCTCGTCGCCCTGTACTACAACGTCATCATCGGGTGGTGCGCCTTCTACTTCTTCAACTCCTTCCAGGTAAATGACTTGTCTTGATTTCGTTGGCGTCCATGGGCGCCGCCATGTTTGATTCAACGTCATGTCGGCGCCATCTTGTTCTATCATACGTCATACCGGCGCCATCTTGTTCTCTACTGCAAACACTTTTGAGAACCTTACGTTTTTATTTTTATAAAAGACTGTCTTGATTTTGTTGGCGTCCAAGGGCGCCGCCATGTTTGAATCATACGTCATTCGGGCGCCATCTTGTTCTTCTAGATACATATAGAGACTGTTTTTATGTTTACCGAAGGAAAACGTATTGTTTTTGCTCTGTTTCCGCTTCTTCTCCAAACCAAGAAGGTCAGTGACCTGAACCAGACGTCTGTCACCATGGTAACTGGTGCTGGGTTACATCATGTTGCAATTTTATAGCAGGAGGGATTTAGACTCCTGTCTGACCATATACATGTATATATGAATGTATTTGAGAAAGAACTAACAGAGCAGACCATATGCGAAGGTAAACATTATGCATTTGCTTTGCAAATGTTACTTTTCTAGTTATAGATGGCTTTCATTCTTAGGACTTGAATAGATTTAACTGTTGTAAGTTGTAACACATAAAACATGCTGATATAACGGTTGTGTTGACTAGGCGCCCCTACCCTGGGCCACCTGTCCCGGCAATGGAACAGTCCTGGAGTGCGAGAAGTCGTCCCCTACAGCATACTTCTGGTACAGGGAGGCGCTGGACACCAGCGAGTCCATTGAAGACGGAGGGGGGATCAACTGGAAGATGATGCTGTGCATCTTCACCGCTTGGCTCATCGTGTGTGTCTGTATGATCAAGGGCATCAAGTCATCCGGCAAGGTAAGGAGTCAACAAAACAAACAAACAAACAAACAAACAAACAAACAAACAAACAAACAAATATTGAAACAACCAAAAATACATCTCATAAACTGTCTTGATTATACAATTATGAAAGTTCATCTGTGTTGGTAGTTTACATGTTTAAAGTTACAAACTTTTGATCCAACACAAGAAAGTTCTCTCACCTAGAGATTTCGACCAGTCACTCTGGTCGTCCTCAGTATGATGATGATGATGTGTATATCTTGATTTGTAATGTTCCAGCCTTTATTCATTATTGCAAGATTTTCTTGAATAGAATGCGGCATAACGTGTGGGTTTGAGAACAACGAAGGCCTGGTGGATACGGATATACGATGTGTCACAACAATCACAACAATCACTGATATCAAGTTTCCAGCCAACCGAATTGCGAAGCAAAGTTCATGTTTAATTTGTTCATCGTTTGTTAGTTCTGTACACGAGTTTTATAATACAGTTGTATTTTGTACAGAAGCCGACTTTGCAAAAATCGTCCCACCTAGTCGATGTTGAAAGCTCTGAAGTGGCACTCTGGCGGCTAAGTTAGCATGTACACGTCCTTTCTTTTGTTTCGGGAACGACTTTTGAAGATCATGATTAATTGGCGTTTGCTTTTAGTGTGAACAATGAACATGGAAAGGAGTTTTGTCTAGGACTGTGTGTATGGGACCGTTGCCAAAGGGGCTATAAAGTCAAAACACTTTTACTGGTGGCAACACTAGAAATATCTGGACACCAAAATCTTTATTTTAGTTTCATTTACCACCACTTTACAGCAAATTTGCGTCATTATTTCATATTTCGGGTGTTTAAAAACAGTACGAAAACAAGTCACGCCTTTCTTTATTCCTAGTGTCACTAATGATATATTCTCTAAGCAGAGGTTGATGGGGGAAGATCGTTAGCTTTTTATAATATATGGCCCGTATTTTTAAAGTCGCAACCCCCACCAAGTAGCGACAAAAAACGGGCCATATAGAAAAAGGTAACGATCTTCCCCCATCAACCTCTGCTTGGAGAGTACAATAATAGGCACGATGTAAACAAACACCCGATTTCCGTTCGCGTTTTTTGGTGATTTCCGTCATAACCCCACTATGTATAGTATATATGGCGTCAGTTCCGACGTAAATATCCCAAAACAAACCGGACATGTACAGTTGACGTGGAAGGTCTCCAAACATGGACTTTGAAAGGTCTTGGTTATTATTTAACTGTCTTTGACCGGTCAGCGTCCAGTTTTGAAAGGAAGCCACGTATATAAATTTTGATAAAAGAGTTTCGTTTCCTAGCACAGAGAACTCGAGGCAACTAAGGTAGCAGAACACAGAACGAGAGAAGGTCAAACTTGGCTACTAAGGCTACGCCCACTTAATTCTATGGATGGCATTCTCTGAAAAACCCCAAACTAGCGAGGGGAAATAAAAAAACATCCGGCCAAAAATAAAAATGCTTCTAAACCACAGGAATACATAGCTGGTATTAATTGTGAATTTACGGCAGTACATAGCGACGTATACGACAAGCCGGCACATGCTGGCTTTCTTTTTTTGCGGAATTTATGAATCGGCACTGTACGTATTACTGAGTTCTTGAGTCGTGGAGCTTCGGTAGCCTGGGTACCAGGCTCCGTATTGTCGCTGACTACCCAGGCCTAGAGCCAGGACAGAGCCTCGGTGGACGTGATCTTTTTTTCTTCTTTTGAGATCAGGCGAAAATCAATGTGCACGCGGATGTCATCCATAAAATTAAGTCGGTGTGTCCTAATATTGATGTCTAACGTCATAGTTTTTCTGCCAACAGGCGATTTACTTTACCGCCACCTTCCCGTACGTGGTTTTGCTGATTTTCTTCGTGCGAGGAGTTACACTAGAGGGAGCCGGCGACGGCCTGGCGTTTATGTTTTTGCCTAAAGTAAGCTGAAATACTACTGAGATTGCTCTCGGTGGCATGTGTTTGTAGCGACAGGTGCTCACTGTTGCAGCAACCCACAAACAAACAAACAAACAAATAAACAAAAAAACAAATGCACTAGAAAAGTGTTACGCAGGCAACTGGATAGACTTTGAAAACTATCACTAATTTTTGGCAGTGACAAACAAATAAACAAAAATACATAAGTTAAACACTTTTAGTAGCCTGGATACCAAACCTATTTTAGCTATCCGTCCTATTTTAGCTATCCGTCCTATCCGCAAATATAGGAGAGGATGAAAGAGACTCAAAATAGGTTTGGTAACTAGGCTACAACTCTTTGAAAACATACGTTGAATTCATCAGAATGGAACAGAAATAGCCTGGTTACCAAACCTATTAAAGCTCCCGAGTCGTACATCCTCTTCGCAAGTATGATGTAGGAATCGGGAGCTATAATAGGTTTGGTAACCAGGCTAAAACTGACATGCAATGTGGGAAACTGTCGACCGAGGGCGCTCGTCGTTTCAAAAGCTGGCAAATGTTGTGTGCGCTTCACGTGTGCGTTAATTTTGTCCCCTTTGTTGTTTGGATTTTGCGTTTCAGGCTATCTACTTCACTGCTACATTCCCCTACGTGGTTCTTTTGATATTCTTTTTCCGTGGTGTGACGCTAGAGGGCGCAGGAGAGGGCCTGGCTTTTTTGTTTATCCCCAGGGTAAGGAACGCCGGGACTGCATGGCTTCTGCCGCTTCAGTCTGACTTTTGTTGCCTTCACGCTTAACTATAGCCTCTACCAGGCTTCGGGAGGCGGCTGGAAAGGGTAGAAATCGGTTAAACAGAGAGATAACATGCCAGGGGAGTTGGTCTGCTGGAGAGAACAGTTTGCCTATTGGATAGCGATGAGTGAACTTCAAGGATATGGCGACTCCGCACAGGCTTCGGGTGCGGCAAACTGTTCTCTCCAGCAGACCAACTCCCCTGGCATGCTATCTCTCTCTTTGGTCGATTTCTACTCTTTCCAGCCGCCTCCCCAAGCCTGGTAGAGGCTCACGCTTAGCCACTGTCTTGCTGCTTTGTAGAGAAAAATATACAGCAGTTAACACCATATATTATAACGTACTTACATCATAACGCACTGTTACTCCAGGTAAGTAGTCATTTTTATATAGGATTGTCCGCCATTGCCTCATAAGTTATCTAAAGCAATAGCGATATATATTTTTTCGGAATTGTCGTTTACTAAAACAATTAACAATTCGCGCTAAAAATTGACAAGTTAGCGCTGAACATTGGGTCTATTCCTAACTAAATTGAAAGTTCTTTGGTACCTTGTTGAAGAGGATTCAACCATTAAACGTCAGGTTTTGGTCGACGAACCAGGCACCTTGAAATCGAATATCTAAAAGACAAAGTCTACTGTTGAAAAAAGCAACGTAATGGTTTTATTACACACTATTCGTCCGTAAATTGAAAATTATCCAAAAGACAAAGGTCTTTGTTGATAAATTCAAAACGACTTATTGGTTTTACTATTATATTATTCTTCTGTAGAATTATCCAACAAGTATCCAAAAGTCAAAGGTAATTGATAACAAGACTTATTGGTTTTATTACACCATATTTTCCTCAGCTTGACAAGCTTGCGGACCCGATCGTCTGGCTGGAAGCCGCCACGCAGATTTTTTTCTCCCTCAGCGTCGCGTTCGGAGGACTCATCTCTTTCTCCAGCTACAACCCCAGGTTGGTGGGCCTGCTGTTCTAACGTAGACTGCTAGGTGGCTCCCGTGTACAGAACCATCTGCAATTTTGCGTGAGATTTTGCACATTTGCATTGTGGAGGATCCAATGATGGTGTTGGATTATGCGATAAAAGATAAATCCGGCCATATGGTCCATGTGAGACACATTCCTTCTAAACCGTTCCCAACTACAAATCAGCTAAGCTAGAATCAGAAGCTTAGAATGAGTACTGCCTGCGAAGCTGGTGTGTTACAGATGCAGAACTAGATGCTGAGTATCAAAAGTGATACGTAAACGATCGAGGAAAATCAAGTAGTTCCTGTACTGAGGTATGTCTCATCTTTTTTTTGTTGTTCTTGGATCCATCAGGAAAAACAACTGCACCCGTGACGCCGTCGTGGTGGCCATCATCAACTCCGGAACCTCCATTTTTGCCTCCATCGTCATTTTCTCCGTCCTGGGCTTCAAGGCGGTGACAGACAGCCGCAAGTGCCTTCAGGAGTGAGTATTGCCGGATGTTTACATCATTATAACGCCCAAATTCCTTGAATAGTTTCATTAGGTTCGTAAGTCACCGAGTGAACATCTTTAGCAGCGACACCTGTGCTGCAGTGCAATGTGAACCAGTCAGAATTGCCCTGAGGAGGGTGACAGACGGTCACTGAAACGTCGGCTGTGAATAAAACACTTGGATGTGTAAAAAGAGTATTGTTCCAGTAGCATCTTTATCAAAAAGCATAAGTTGAGGATGACAAAAGAAGAAGATGACATACCCAGAGTAGGTCAGTTTTATGAACTGTTGTCATAGATTTTTTTGTTTTTCTTTGCGACATGAAGGTTCCAGGATGTTCTGGACACGAGGGTTCCCGGATTCGCGAGCACCAACACGACTGTCACTGCCGCCAACTACATGGACTTGTGGGGCGAGTACAATACTACTAACCCCGCCGTCAGGGACTTCAACTTCGGCTACTGCAGTAAGGAGGGCAACCTCAACAACGTAAGTCTATACATGTACTGATATTGTTTGTGTGTGTGTGGGGGGGATGGTTTAGGGTTAAGGTTAGGGTTAGGTTAGGCTTAGGGTTGGGTTAGGGTAAGTCTTAAGGTTAGGGCTAGGCTAGGGTTAGGGCTAGGGTTAGGCTTAGGGTTAGGCTAAGACTTAGGGTTAGGCTTAGGCTAGGGCTAGGGCTAGGGCTAGGGCTAGGGCTAGGGCTAGGGCTAGGGTTAGGGTTAGGCTATGGCTTAGGGTTAGGGTTGGGTTAGGCCTAAGGTTGAGGGGTAGGGTTAGGGTTAGGGCTAGGGTTAGGGTTAGAGTTAGGGTTAAGGCTAGGGTTAGGCTTAAGGCTAGGGCTAGGGCGGTCGCTGTCAAACAATCCACCTCTGAAGTGCATCTTGTTGTTTCTTCGAGAGTCCACGGATTCGATTGCTAACATTCCGGGCTAAAAGGTGTATAAATGTAGGTGACAGTGTGATTGGTTAGAGTTGACTCATCGAAGGCTCTAAGGAATATGTAACAGTGGGGGGTTTATAGGCGCTACCACCAACTGACCCGGCCGATGGGTCTGGACCTGTTAGCCGAGTGGTTAGAGCGTCGGCATATGAAGCTGGTGCTCGGGAGGTCGTGGGTTCGAACCCCGGCCCGGGACCAGGGGTTTTTATCTGTTTCTACTCACTCCCCCGACAAATATATAAATTACTGAAAATTATTTATTGCAGGCTGTTGGTGGCACCGGCTTGGCGTTTGTGGTTTTTACCGAAGCCATGAACCAGTTCTATCCGCTGGAGATGGGTCCATTCTGGTCCATCCTGTTCTTCCTCATGCTGGCGAACCTCGGGCTGTCATCCATGTTCGGCACGCTAGAGGGCGTCATCACCCCACTGAGGGATGCCGGGATATGGAAATGGCGCAAGGAGTTTCTTGTTGGTACGTTAGTTGTAGCATGGAGGTATCTACCTCCATGGTTGTAGATATGACGTAGAAGTGATGTTCAACCTTGTCTGTAGTTTCAGAGGTTTAGAACTTTGTTCCAACGCAAAAAGGAAACTTGCTATGAATTTTCAACCAAACTGTTCGACCTGAAAGTCGATGCAGTGTGTCATTCATCTGACGAAGGTCGACAAGTTCGGTTGAAAATTCACGATGAATTTCCTATTTGTCTTGGAACAAAGTTCTAAACTCTACAACTATGTTTTCTACCATCACAGATGACCATGCAAACCATGTTGATAGTCTAGTTGTTTTCGTCAAAGTAAAATGGCAAAGAGACAGAAAATATACAGCAACATCTACAACACTTTGTCATGTGTATCACAGCACCCAAATGTTCTGTTTATTTTCCTCTCCAGTCCTCCTGTGTGTGGTCTGTTTCCTGATCGGGCTGATCTTCGCACAGTATTCTGGGAGTTACTGGCTGGACATCTTTAACGACTACAGCGGAACCTTCCCTCTGCTCATCATCGCATTCTTTGAGAACATCGCCATTGTGTATGTCTACGGCTTGAAGAGGTGAGTGGTCTTTGATGTAGACGCCACCAGAATCTTTTGCAGGCTGAATAAATAGTAGAAATCAGCCTTAAAAGGGGATATAATTGGCCAGCTGGACCCTCTATGGCCTGCAAACTCCTCTCTCGAATTATATCCCCTTTTTAGCCCGATTTCCACTATTTATTCAGCCTGGAAAAGAAGTCTAGTGGAGACTCTCTCTGATGTACTTCTACGTCTTGCTGCAGGGTGGTGTTGCGGCAAGGATGCGCTCCCAAACATGACTGTGTCTATCTTAATGCCCCCACGTAAGATCGGACTATATTAAAGGCTCGAACCACTCACACCGGGAAGGTCCCCTACTCTTTTTTTCGATAAGTGCGGTCGGGTGGGTGTGTGGGGTGTGGCTATCCCAAGCACAGGACCTCCATTTAACGTCCTATCCGAGGGACGTCCCTAACTGAAGATAGGCACTCATTTACTCCTGAGTGAAATGAGGAAAGTCGTGTTAAGTGCCTTTCCCAAGGGCACAAGATTTGTGGCATCGGGCAGGATTCGAACCCGGGACCTCTTGGGTCTGAGACGAACACTCTACCATTACGCCACACAACCCTACTTTCACAATTACAACCGTTGTGCGATAAAATTGATTTGATTTTTTCTTTGATTAACAGGTTATCAGACGATCTGGAGTACTGCTGCACTGATTTGTAACTTAAACATAGATCATCAATAGTTAAAATCAATGGGCAAATAGGTTAGCCTAGGCGTCAATCTTGTTAGTCTGTGATTGAAACTTTAATGGATCCTATTTTACCGAATTCTACCATCCAAATCTCCTTAGGAAGGTCTGTTTTTTTTTTTTTTTTTTTTTTATTCAGAAGCTCAATGAGAATTACAAATGAAAATACATGGACTAAGTGACTGCGAACTCAAGTTAGGTACAACTTATATTCTCGCAGCCACTTTTACAATGAAAGAAAAATATTTTACAAGACATTTAAAAATACATAAGACCTCGCGTGAGTAACAATCCTCCCATCCCAGAAAACACATACAGTTAGAATCTTTTTGTTTCTAATATATGATTTTGTACGGCTAACATTATTTTGCAGTTGGTGTCATACGAACAAAGGAAACTACCGCGAAGAACTAAATATTGTATGGAATTATCAGAAAGAGTGTTTAAATCAACAATATTACCAAGTATGCTTGAAAGCTTGCCAAAAAGGACTAAGCGCTGGTAGGTGTATATAGGGCAGTGCAATAAATAATGAGCAATCGTTTGATGATCGTTTAATGAGCAAAAGGTCTGGTTGAGGCTAGTACACCCCAAACATCTCTGTTCATGACTCTTGTTTCCGTTTGATTGACAGGTTATCGGACGATCTGGAGTACATGACGGGTTCCCGCCCGAACATCTACTGGAAGGTGACCTGGATGTTCCTGACCCCCATCTCCATGCTGGTGATTTTCGGCGCCACGATCTACACAGAAGCCACCAGGACCATCACGTACAAGGGATGGGATGCCGCACTGGTTCGTAACTTTAGCATAATTAAAAATCACTATTAATTAAAATTAATTGGCAAATAGCTAGGGCTCACAAAGCTGTTCGACTGAACAGCAACCTTCTTTGTCAAGAAATAAGCAACCCATCGCTTATATGCCTTGGCGTCATTTTTAAGGCAGATAGAACACATTGAGTAGTGGATGAAAGGTTGCAGAATGTTTATGGCATCCCTCGTCAGCGATAGGTGTCATGGGCTTTCTGAATCACTCTCAATGTTTCTATGTACTGGAAAATAAACGTTACAATCCACACTACCAAAGAAGACCATCGACCACTCAAGGGACCGATAAAAGCTGGTCTATGTGGACAGTTGGTCACATTGGCTAGGTGGTCCCTATGCAGAGCTCAAGACTGTATAGTATTTGGGCTGTCATGCTTTGGTGCAAGTGTCCTACAATATGACAAACATGATCTGACCCAGTGTTGCTTCTCTGTCCTGCAGGGCCAGGTTGTCGACAAGGGACCGTACCCGTGGTGGGGAGAGATGATGTGCTACGTCCTGATCTGCCTCCCGTCCCTGTTCATCCCGCTCGTGTTCTTCCTCCGCCTGACTGGAGTCATGCCCTACCGCGGGGAGACCCTGAAGTCCAAGCAGGCACGCGTGGTAAAGAGCGGCAGCCGGGGAGCCATCTCCAAACAGAACCTGGTGACGGATTCGGTGACCTCCGTTTCAGGCTCCTTGGCGGCCTACCCCGCCAACGGAGTCATTAACCCCGCTTCCACAGCTTTGTAACTAACCCCGCCTGGTGTCCGTTCGTTCGTTCGTCCGTTCGTTCGCCTCTTCAGTCGCGCATGTGCAGAAGCTTCTGTAGCCGCCATCTTCCTTCTTCTGAAAAAAGGACTACTGCTGCGAACTTGGCTGCTGATGTGTATATGCTGTATAAAACGAGGCTAGATCTGCATTTAAACGAGCCAAAAGAGATTTGATTCTTGCGATGATTAAAAATACGCACAAATTTTATATCACAGATTACAGATTTTACAGCAGAAACGATTCACGTTCAGTAGAAACGATCGTTTTTCTTGTTTGAACCTAGTACCTCGAAATCGCCTATCGGATCTACAGGGTGACCTAAATATGAAAGATCGTCTCAAAAATTGTGTACAATATCGAGAGCAAATTTATTATTAATTTATTGATACATTTATTATTGATTTATTGAAATCTGTACAGTTCTAGTCTCTTACATACAGCAGTTTTCGAACGTACTTATAGTCCTTTTGAAAAACTGATAGTTATTCGACTTCTAGAGAAAAATAGTGTTACTAACATAGGCTTTCATTAACAACTGTACACTGTTGAACACTGTTTCATTGGAATTGTGACAGAAATGTAAACCCAATGAGATTTTAAGTTACCTATATTCAAGATGCTGGCGTTGTGAATATAGGGACAAGTATTAAGATCAAATCTTTCTTTATCAAATATGATTACTACAAACTTGTAAAGAATTTGGAAGGAAAATAATACAGGATTTTTATGAAATTTTGCCAAAATGAGATGTTTTTGTGCTTCCAAAGATATATACATCCCTCTGTATTTAATTCAAATGTGCCAACGGTTTACAAACAAACAAAACTGCCAAAGAAGCCAAAATACAAAACTGCCAAAATACAAATTCAGAACTGCCAAAATACATAACTGCCAAAATACAAATTCTACCTTGGAAGAATATTTGGTTGGAAAAGCTACACTGCCATGTAGTGCTACATTACTTTTTCGTTTACTTTTTTTTTTTTGAGATGAAATTTTGACACATCACACTTTCCCCAAACTCTCCCTTCAAGCAAAATGCATGAGACATGCAAAATTCCTCACCATTTGTATTTTTAATTTCTAAATTCTATTTTACGTTTTGGTCCGTTCTCAGTGTCTACACTCCTTCCACTTTCTATAATGCATGACGTACTTGTGGCATGTAGCATGCTTATTTAAGGTGTTAAGGTGTAAGTTAACTGGTGTTAAGGTGGTTAAGTTAAACCTAAGTTAAGGTGTTCAGATTCTTCTTAAGGTGGGTGACGGCCTTTCTCCTGAACCATCTTAAGTCAACGAAACAAAAATATTGACCGGGCGTATTTTTTATTACCTCTATTTACAGCTGAAGATGCGGTTCTCGGACCTAAAGGCTCACCAGGAAGACAGCGATTCGGTCAAGGCCATGTTACCGTAGCATCATGTGATCACCACGTGGCCGTCGCGTGATCATCACGTGATCGTCTCATGATCGTCACGTGACGCGCATGAGATCATCACGTGACTGGAGATCACGCAAAGTTGTTTTCTCTTCGAGGCTGAAAACGATGATATTTACGCAGAATATTCTGAATTTTCAGTCTGGAAAAGAAAACAATCCCAAATGCTGTCCAGAAAAGAAGTGAAGTTATTGTCTTCTGCAAGTCAAGCGGTGGATATTTATTTTCGGCATGATATTTGATATCGTTGCAGCTGTAAGGTTATCCTAGCCTCTACCAGGCTTCGGGAAGCGGCTGGAAAGAAAGAGTAGAAATTGGCCAAGTAGATAGGAGTTGGTCCGCTATAGAGTACAGTTTGACCCTCCCGAAGCGAGTTTTTACTCTTTTGTTCCAGCCACTTCCTGAAGCCTGGTGGAGGCTATCCCCCAAACTTGACCAACTAAAGTTTCAAAGATCGGAGTGCACAATATCATTCCTGTACTTAATTTAAAAGGTGATATTATATTTGTATGGATTGTTTTGTTTCGCAATTTCTGAAAAGCGCTTTGGACCTGCTTGCTTATTTTTGCCAATGTACATATATTGTATGAGAGTGACGTAGAAAGCTGTATGCTACGTCATGTATATAGTAACTGCTTTTGAAATGTTGTAGTTTCAGCAACTATGCTACAAAGCCTATATGCCCGAATAAAATTGACCAATTCTACCCTGTTGAAACTTAGCACAACCAATAGCAGTTTTCCACAAGCCACGACCGGAAGCGCTTTGAAATTAGACCCAACAGACGTAATTTCGAACCGCATTCGGAGTGGTATGTGGCAAAGTGCTTTTGGTTCTCTGCTTTTTGTGTTAGCTTTGTAGAAAGCACAATGCTCATTTCTGGCAAGAACACATCTTAGTTTTCCTGTGTACTGAATATTAGATTGAAGTGAGAAAAGAAGCAAATATGAATTGCACTATACGTAGTGTACATTTACGTGCTATTTTTCACATTTTGTGTGTGACAATTTGACTACTATAAATTCACATATAGTACAAGAAAATGTCCGTGAAGACCAAATACTATGTATATTTTGTGTATAATTTCAACTTGTACTTTGCAAAATGTCTCACAAGGTGGAACAACGAATCCCAAAGAATACTTACATATCTATTTGATGACAATTTGCAAAGTATCTGATGGAAAAGAGAGTAACTCATTCTTAATTGTAGAAATATCCTACGAAGGTACATGTACTTCCTCCGTTCATACAATAAGATATCCTTTGCCTTTGTGTGTGTATGGATTGTAGTGTTATTTTCATATACTGTACAGTACTAACATTATGTATTGGTACTACTTATGCTTTGAAGAGCTCCAATGTCGTGTATATAGGAGTGCCCTAGACACTGTATGTGCTTCTAACTCTCTGTTTCTTTCTTTTTGAGTCGTAATAATGGCCCTAGATACCATCCTAGCGGATTCTACTGAAATTCAGTGTGATATAATATGTGAAGATGGATTCAAACTTTCTGATACAAACGTTCTGAACGCTTTCTACATCCACAAACAGCTAGGCCTGATGTTTTGATGTTCGGAAGATTGATGTCGTATTGGTAAAATGGTATCAAGGTATCGCCAGTATCAAAGATGGATTTTTTTTGGCGACGCCACCTAGGCGGAGCCGAGTTTACAGTGTATACAGTTCAACTGGAAAAACAGTGAAGGATGAAAAAATGTGATCTCATTTCAGAGAAAAAGTTAAAAGCGTGAAAATTCGGACGTTTTCCGAATTTCTTGTGATTCAAACTTGTAGCCTATATATAGCGCGTAGCTAGTGCCTTGTAGAATGTACGTTGACGTGTACATTTATTATAACTGGCTGGCACCGAATATTCTTGGTTTCTGTGATCTTAAATTTGCAGTATAAAGTATAGAAGTTTACTGCAACGAAATGTACTTATTTTTGGAAGGTGTTTGATTCTTGTAGCTGACGATGATGTGTATTTTCTCTACTGTAGTTACTGAGTGGCGACTGTTAGTAGACAATGATTGTAAACCACTGAATACCGCAAACTGTACGTACGTGCTACAACAGAGTTTAGCTAGAAGAAACAGGGATGTTAGTATGTGTAACTGTACAAATTGAGAAGTAGTCGTTATTTTTGAATAGGAGAGGCTAGCATCGGTGTGCATTAGTCAAATGACTGGTACATTTTGCACCACAATCCACTTGCAATACAGTTAACAATCTAGACACAACATAGGTACTTATATGTGTCTTCAAACTGCTTGTACAAAACAAACATGTCTACTTCTAGCCTCCACCGGGCTTCGGGAGGCGGCTGGAAAGAGTAGAAATTGGCCAAATGGAGAGATAGCATGCCAGGGGACTCGGGAGCGACAAACTGTTCTCTCCAGCAGACCAACTCCCCTGGCATGCTATCTCTTTGGACGATTTCTACTCTATTTCAGCCGCCTCCCGAAGCCTGGTAGAGGCTAGTCTACTACACCCGTCCATTGAAGCAGACCTCTACTTAGCCTTTGCCATGACCCGATTTTGAGGCTAATATTGAAGATGTCGCCATGACAGATTTGTACATATTTCGCTGGAATAATTAAATTGGACATACAATGTAGAATATCTCAACTGCTGGTGCCTGCAATTATCAATGCAATTAATATGCAGGAATGCACACGAGGTTCTCTCCAAATGATCAACTGAATCTCCTTCAATAAAGCCCCTGTTTCAACAGAACTGCCTTCTGTGAGTCGTTCTTTTTTATGTTTACCGAAGGAAAACATTGTTTCTTCTTCTTCTCCAACCACTGACCTCTGACCTGGCCAATGGCCTGATTTGTTGACGTCTCTCACCATGGTAACTGGTGTTGGATTACGTCATGTTGTAATTTTATAGCAGGAGGGATTTAGACTTTTTATGTTTACCGAAGGAAAACTTGTAGTTTTTGCTCTGTATCCTCTTCTGTTCCCAACACCGATCCTCTGACCTGGTTGATGACCAAACTCTCTCACCATGGTAACCGGTGTTGGGTTACATAATGTTGCAATTTTATAGCAGGAGGGATTTAGACTCCTGCCTGACTATATATATATATATATGTGAATGTGTTGGAGTAAGAATTAACAGAGCAGACCATAGGCGAAGGTAAACATTATGCATTTGCTTTGCAAATGTTACCTTTCTAGCCTTCTTATAGTTGTGCAATCGTCCTGCAATAATTTAAGTTCTTCATCTTCTTTCTGCATCTTTTGCTGAGATAACCATCTATGTAGAATACGTCTCCCATGGGGATTGGGGATCACAGGTTGTGTGATTACATTACATTCACGTCTTGTCGCTTCCAGAACGGAAATATTCATGATGAGGTACTGGCGAGGGATTTTGGAAACTAGGTTGATGAGGATGATCCGATCGGCGCCGAGAGTTTGACCTAAATGTTTTCATTGCTCCATAATTTAGCACCAAATGGTCAGCAGTTGATGTGGTTATGGAGCTCCTTAGATTATGTGATTAAAATGCACAGTACATCATTCAAGAACTTTATTGCACGACAAGATTATCTGTATACTGTATTCACATCAATATACCACGCCGTCCCAACGGGCTTTCGCCGGCTCCAAAAGGTCTTGCCGCCTTGTAATTGTAAATCCAATCGCACTGACGGTAAACGTAGCCTCTACCAGGCTTCGGGAGGCGGGTCAAAAAAAGAGTAGAAATTGGAGAGAGAGATACGAGTCCGACAAACTGTACTCTTTAGCGCTATAACTCCCCCGGCATGTTATCTTTCTTTCTTTGATTTGGCCAATTTCTATTCTTTCCAGCCGCCTCCCGAAGCCTGGTAGAGGCTATAGTGATGGCACTAGTGGCCGGGTAAAGATAGCCTCTACCAGGCTTCAGGAGGCGGCTGGAAAGAGTAGAAATCGTCCAAATAGAGAGATAAGCACACCAAGGGAGTTGGTCCAGTTTTCGGGTGCGGCAAACTGCTCTCTTTAGCGGACCAATCTCTCTCTTTGGCCGATTTCTATTCTTTCCAGCCGCCCCCCGAAGCCTGGTAGAGGCTAGGTAAACGGTCCTCTAGCTTGACACGGCGGTGTATTTTTAAAAGCATCATAAAAGCGTAATCTCAACTCTTCACGAATCTGACTGCTCAAGATCATATCTTTAAATTTGCCTCAGAGCACACGTAAGATACCGTAAGAAACTAAACATTAATTTATAACATTAATAAAAATATGATTATGATGTCAGGAATACCATGATATCAGGAATACCATCATTAGTATGATCCAATACAGTCAGATGTAGAATATGTGTCACATGTAATTATAATGTGAACGGACACACTTACGATCAAGGACATTATACAGACCTTGCTTTAATAGATGTTGCGCTTGGCGACCTAACGTTACATGTATATCTACTTCACCCAGCTTCGTTTTTCGTTCATCTCTGTCTATCATCTGACTAGATAGACGGAGAGAACATGCAAATTACTTGCAAAAAGGTTGATATTTAGAGTCATTGCGGTATATATTAGTGATGGCACTAGTGTCTACTCTCCAAGCAGAGGTTGTGGGGGAATGATCGTTAGCTTTTTATATATGGCCGTTTTTTTGTCGCTGATCCCGTCGGTGGCCGGCGACCTTTTCTGGCTAATGGATACTGTCTGGCCAATTTAATACTGTCTTTTTGCCACCGAGAGGGATCTGCTTGGAGATAACCAGTGTCAGGGTAAAGACTAAAGACCGAAGAGGGCGTGTGAGGTCACGTGATTGACACGACAGTTGACTCTTCTCGCCTGTCCACAGCTGCCTGTGCAGATATTTAAGGTCAAAGATCAAAGTACCGGCTGTAACATAACCTCCCGAGCTGTGTGCATAAACCTGAATAGTCATCCAATCTCTCAAGTTATAATACGAGACTGTATCAACATTATACAGTAAGGGTCAGTGCCCGAGGGAGATGTGTGTTTATATATAGTCCTTTCTGTCAATTTAGAACTGTTGCAGTGGTCATTGCCCTGTGTCCATCTTTCCGCAAGGGACACTCCGGCCAGGGACTGACCACTTATGTCCCAGCACGTCGTTTATTCAGGGACGGTCCTGTAATGGTTCAAGGCGGTGGGGGACGTATTTAGATCAGGGTGATCTATCATTGTATCATAACAAAAAAGAATTCAAATATAAACATATAGAACTTCAAATAATCATAAAAAGATAGCTAATAATTCTTCGATTTTAAACTAACACATAGACCTCAGATGAACGTTCAATTGCCAAGATGAAATAAAAACAATTTATTCCACATTTAAGGCATTTAATTTCTATGCTATTTTTGGCAGCTATCATATGTACGTGTGTTACGTGTATGAAGGATATATTGGTCCTCCGCCTACCATATCCGGCGACTGGAGTGTTGGAACCAAAAGAAGATTTTTCAACCTTTCAGAACTTCGAACATCATTCGAAATCGAACTTCATTCGAAATCGAACATGATTCCAAATCGAACATAATTCGAATTTACATCGAATTTCATTCGAAATCGAACTTCATTCCAAATCGAACATTATTCCATATCGAATACCATTTCTAAGCTCAGAATGAAACCATTGTTTAATAGAAGAAAATATAAAGTTAATATGCTGTATTGGGTTAGCGTCACTGGGCTATCCCTTCCCTCCATCCCATCACAACAGTTAACGAACCGCCCCTGTGAATGACATGATCACAAGTCCCTGAGAAGATGAGCATCGCGGGGACACTACTGTAGAGAGGTTTCCTCCGCTGTCCTTGGTTTTCCATTAGACACAATCAGATTTACCATAAGAGCAGCGGGCGTATTTGGCCATTCGGACCGTGCAGAATTCACGTGTTGGACACTGCCTGCCTTTTTTCCCGAGACCTTGTTCTAGGATCTCCGCGTGTGGGAGTCAGCGCAAGGACAGGTCACGCCACGAGGTCCCCCGGACCATCACAGCCTCTTCAGTCAGCACGGTTACCGTATGGCGACAGTCCAGGATAACCTGTAACAGTAAGATTTGTATCTCTGTTCTCTGCAATTTAACATAAGACGCCACGTGTATCTGTATCTGTACAGATATGTAGATGTAGCTAGTAGTAGCTGTGCATCAGCATCCAGTGTGTCTTTCGTACCAATGCCATGATTTCCTCGTCCGAAGAGTGTACAAGAGTCATATACTTAGTAAGGGTTATCTAAACACCATGATACGTTGTACAACTACAAGGCGATTATCTAAAACCATGCATCGGAGAAAAGTCGCTGTCTCTTGGTGCTGAGAGTGAAGTGTTTGGGGTGTTAGTGTGACATGTATACACTGAGAAAATGGACGCATTGTTTATATCAAAAATTGATTGATTGTCGTGATCTAGAGAGGCGGTGTAGGGGCTTTGCCTCCTATGGTATGGCCCACACAAGGCTTCGTGTAGCCTGGGTGCCAGGCACCTCGGGATGCGATACTCCCTTCGGCCATGTGAAGCCCCGGCTGTAGCCTCTACCAGGCTTCGGGAGGCGACTGGAAAGAATAGAATTTGGCAAAATAGAGAGATAACATGCCAGGGGGGTTGGTCCGCTAGTGCGGCAAACTGTACTCTTAAAAGTCTTTAGAGGACCAACTCCCCCTGCATGTTATCTCTCTCTATTTGGCCAAATTCTATTATTTCGGCCGCCTTTCGAAGCCTGGTAGAGGCTACCCCGACCCTAATTAAAGTTAGCACCTGGGCGTCTAATTTAGACTTTTTGGAGCCAGGGGGCTAGCCTAGCGCCTGTATACCGCCCATGGCAACAGTCTGGCACCCAGGCTAGGGTTCGCGGGAATTTGCCTGCCCCCATTCTGCACACACGAGGCCGTGTCCATTTACAAATTATAAATATTTGACATCGACGGAGAAGATCTCTACAGCAAAGTTCTCAGCGTTCCTGGCTAATATTTGATAAGATAAGAAATTTTATCCGTTTTTCTGCTTCTTGTGCACATTGAATGCGATAGATCATGTAGATTATGTATTGTTGTCATCTACTAGTACAGTATTGGGCCTCATTCTATACTATGGTGTTCAATTAATATTGCATGGATTTGATTTCGTTACTGTAATTTTTCATCAGGGCTTGTTTGTTATTGTTGCATGTTGATTACCACCTCCAATGTATTTTAGCCCCTCATTGTACAAATTATGTAGGTTAAAATTTAACTTTTCTTTTCAGGGCCATTGTGTGGAAATTTCAGCGAAATCATGAGAGCTGACCAAGTGATGTCCCTGGTCTGCTGGGTCCGTAACAAGGTTGACAGAGTTCGTCAGATCAAAACAATCGTGCACGTCTGTTTCCGACAGGCCACCGGCAATTATAGTACTGGACAGTAGGACGGAGTAGCCATCAATCACGACTTGACAACTGCAGTTCCGTTAGAAATTGCTAGGCGGCGCGAGCTCTCGCACCCAAACGTTACCTTCTATACATAGTCTGCGAGTCAAGTTTCCTATCCAAGCAGATCGTATCATTGAGAAAACAATTGAAAGGCAATTATAAAGAAAGCCTTTTCAGTTGCCTACGAGGATTGTTTGAGTACAAGGTACAAGGACAAGAGGGTTGGAATCTTCCCAAGAGCTTTTAATCGTATTCTCGTCAGCACATTTTTGTACACAGTTCAAGGACGACCAAGTATCAACTCAAGCACCGCCGGAATTTTTTGTGAGAGATACCGTTACATATCTCTCTGTCTGTGAATATATAGACGGGCGTACCAGTCTGGTTATCTCTGTCAGAGGGCACTGGTATAAATTTGGCACGAGTTTACGTACATACATGTAGGTGGAGTTTGGAGACGACCCACCAGACAGGGACCGACATATATCACACCTTCCCACGACAGCGCCAAATACGTCCCGACGTTTGGACAACCGCGACATCAAAGAGTGAAGAGCACACTTACAACTGTCAAAGGTTGGTGTGAATTCTGTATTTTTAGCCTGACCAAATTATCTTTATATGACCCTCATAGTAGAGCGTTCATAAAGTCACGTACACAATGTCGTGTATGTTTATATGTACTTTGGCATTTGTTCATATGGGCATCCCTTGTTTGGGTGTGAATATCAATTAATTAATTAATCTGTCAATCATAACGTTAGATACTTCATAGCTCCAATCATAATGATTAAACACAGATATGCCCAGGCCTATTTAAAGCCAGATATTGTGGGCCGATAAAAAGATCCATATGTATGTATGTATTTTGTAATCTAATAGTCTCGCCCTTTTCACTTGCCCAAAATATGATGTATTTCTATGCATTTTCCTTGCAGAAAGGATTTATTTTATTTTATTTTTCAATAAGAAAGTGCTAATAAAAAATGCTGCTTGCTTTAGGGCATATTTTTTATTTGTATCAATATAATATCTTAATTGGAAAATGATATGTAATTTTGTTCCAAACACTGCATCCAAACAATTTACTTGCCCGAACAGTGGGCAATAGGACTTGCCCAACCCTGAAATAAATGTTAGAATGTAAATAGGTTATGAGAACAGTTGATGTTGGCACTTGGCAGTATCCACAGCAGACACCCTACAGTGTGAGGAACGTGGCCGAGACAGCTGCCTACCCTCAAATACTTTATACCTATCAATAAGTGTCTTTCTGATCTTATATGAGGGTTATTTGGACCGTCACTACCCCAGGAATATAATCAATCAATCAATCAATCAATTAATTAATCAGTCAATTATAACGTTAGATACTTCATAGCTCCAATCACAATAATTAAAAACACAAATATGCAACAGACAGTTTCAAAGCCAAATGTTGTCTATAACAAAAGATCCATATCAGAAAAATGCAACATAGAAAATGTCATGTATGTATTGTGTAATTTGAGAGTCTTGCCCCTCCAACAAAGACAATACAGATTATCTGTATCTGTATAGCCGGTATAACCGCCCTTCGGCGTAACACACCAGCTTTAGTAAATATATCTGAATTATACGTAGTGTACCATCGGTTTACTGTAACTGCTAGTGCACAAAATCCACATAAAATCACCACATATGAAATATCTATAAAGTAGATCTAGGTTATGAGAATAGTTTCTCTTGATGTTGGCAGTAACCATGACAGGAACCATACAGGGTTAGGAACGTGGCCTGGACAGCTGTCTACCCTTAAATACTTTATACCTATCATGTTGCAGTGAAGAGTATGGCATGACAGAGGTAATAGGCTAGGGTGGTTCCGATATTTATTACAAAATGTTTGGCATAACCATTACACTGGCTTCCAGGTAGTTTAGCTGATTTTCGAAATTCAACAATCAAAATATTACATAAACAGTCACCGAATTTCAAATTATACATAAATCAATTTCTAATAAAGTCTCTAACTAATAATCAAGCAAACCAATTATACAATCTAATTAAAACGTCAAAACATAGCATTACATCATTAATTGATATGAATCTTTATTATATATACATGAAATAGAACAGTTTATATGCAAAATGCTTAGAGTCTAAGTTGAAAAAAGAAGACTTTAGGTCAAAGATTTTAAAAATATTTAACAATCAAAATTAAAATTAAAAAATATTTGGAAAAGAATTAGAATTTAACTAATTTAAAGATCTTAAAATTTTTAAATCTTAAAATCGACCACAGCACTTATTTTGTTGTCATGTCGGCTTTGATTCTGTCTGTGTGACCCCCAGCTTCATGCATGTCATGTTTGTAAACATCATTGCTGGGTGAGTGACACCCGTCATTCTCTAGATGCCAGCCTTTCTAACTTTAGTTCGCTCTCTCGGTCGCCTCTTTCATCATCTGATGTGGCAGGGAGGCAACCGACAGAGCGTACTAAACATATGCATAAAACCCGGGTGTCAGAGACAACTGGAGGGTCTGTGCCGGTGACAGATCAACCTGGCGGGACCTGTGCATGACTGTAGCCGCCATGCATCAGCACTTGATGCCTGCACTTGATGATTGATTGATATCTAAGCTATAACATCATGCTGCAATGTCATAAGTGACAGCCGTCATGCTCTAGATGCCAGCCTTTTCTAACTTGAGTTCGCTCTCTCGGTCGCTTCTCCATATCTTGTGGTCTCTAAGGCAACCGACAGAGCGTACTAAAATAAAACCTAAAAAGGCCGGTATCTAAGCTATAACATCGTGCTACAATGTCATAACTGTTTATTGCCAGGGAAGCGACCGACAGAGCGTGCTAAAATTAAAGTTAAAATGCTGCTATCTAAGTTAAACCATTGTGCTATAATTCCACATGTGCAGATGGAGATGTTTCGGCAACTGATGAGTGACCAAAATCGTTGGTCACTGAAATCATTGAGACCATTGGAAGATTTTGGAGTTTGAGATCATTTTGAAAGATCATGGAAATATTAGTTGCTGTCATTAAAAGATTGACCGTTGAGATGGTTGAGGCATCGTTGAAAAACCATGAGAGATCAGTGAGAGACCATCGAAAAATCATTGAAAGATCTGCCAATTGTTGTACTCTCAACGTGTCGCTTCTTTGACATCCCATCTTTATGAGTCGCATTTAAATCTTGTAGCTCGCATTTAAATCTCAATTTTATCTATATACGTTTGAATACGACTTCAAATCATTACTTAGCACATTCGTATTCTACCCATGTCACCGCATCACGTGCCCTTTCTGCCCTTTTGCCCTCAACTTTTGTTGGTCCTTCGGGGCAAAAGGCGGACTTTGCTATAGTATTAAAAATTAACAACCGTCACACACCCATGCAAATATTCTACTTTGTTCAGTCTAATCTATTACCTGTATTCACAACTTCATACGTCGTCTACTCTTTTTTTAATCCAAGCAAATCTATATCTGCTCTTTCATCCATCTGTTGACAGATTAAAAAAAGATTTTAATTTGGCAAAACAATTCTGAATCATTGAACCGTATCAGTAGAAGTAAACACTCTTTAAGTCATGTGTTTGGACAATACCATTTTGTGGTGGCAAGTGTTCCTTATCAATTTTACTGCTTTTCATGCAATTTGACTGGGACAATTGAACATTTTGTATTGCAAAACAGGTACTGAAAAGTACTAACAAACTAAAAGGAATTGAAAAATTACTGACAAAATCTAAAACTTAGGTTGCGAATAACGGTCCACCCTTCGTCCAATTTTATTAGTCTGTTCAAACATCACGTGACCCCTGCTGCCAGGTGTAAAGTTAATAATCCGTGAATGGTTCTATTGTTCGTCACGGCCGCCATATCTCTCCTCCCTACAGCTCCGGTCTCCTCTCGTCTTGTGTGGTCCCAGACAACTTCTACTCCAGACTCCCTGCACCTTGTGGACAGTCTTCGCTCGTACTCACGTTCCTGAACTTTAAGGGCAGTTTATTCAAGTTCAAGAATCGTTTCAGTGCGGTTGTCTTTTGTTTGGACCACTGTCTTAGGAGGAACCTGGTGTTTCCCGCTTCGAGACAACGCCTCTCCGACACCCAACACCACGTGATCTTCAGCCCATCGTGAGCCAACAGGTGTCTGTGTCCACCATCTTTTTTCAAAGTCACTAACAACAACAACAACAACGAACTTGACAGACTTCTTCAACTTTCTGAGAAGAAATTTTGGTGTGTATTTTGCACGTGGAAGCTACAAGGACAACCTCGGTATCCTCGCCTACCGTGCATACAGCTGACTTTGAAGTGAACTTTGACTTCCAAAGACTCGCGGCCACGCCACATCGGAAACGGCACTGCAGCTTTAAGAACCTCATTGTTGTGTCAAGGTTGGCTAATTTATAGACACAAACTGTTGACACACCACTTTGTTGAAGGGCTCGTTCAAGTTCACTGAATAGACAATAAAACCTACTGTTTGGCCTGCTGCCACCTGTTGATATATAAAGCGTGCTTTGAACATCGAGACACCAGATGCAGCTGAACAACCAACCCAAGATGGAGAACGCCAACGGATCCGTTCCGGACGGCAAGCGAACGGAAGAAGGCGACGTCCCAACCGCCAAAGTCGACAACGTAGAGATGACCACATTGGCTGACGGAAAGACTGTCGCTGATATGGAAGAGGGAAAGATGGCCAACCACGTGGAAGAAGGCAAGAAGAGCACGCTAGAGGAGGAGGAGGAGGAGGAGGGAAGGATGGCGTGGGATAACAAGTACCAGTACCTGCTGTCTCAGATCGGCTTCGCTGTGGGGCTGGGAAACGTCTGGAGGTTCCCGTACCTGTGTCAGAGGAACGGCGGAGGTCAGTAAAGCTCTTCTGTACTTTGCTTTGAAATTCTATGCCAGGAATACCCTTGGCATATTTGCAAAGAGAATAGAATAGAAGAATACTAGTTAGAATTCTAGTAATATAATGGTAGAATGGAACAGAATAATAGAATGGATAAATAGAACAGAAGAAAAGAACAGAAGAATAGAACGGATGAATAGAACAGAAGAATAGAACACAAGAATAGAACACAAGGTATAGAACAGAAGAATAGAACACAAGAATAGAACAGAAGAGTAGAACAGATGGATAGATATTGTAACGTTTTCTGTCTTCTAAACCGTAGACAGTGGAATTCCTCTATTGTAATCATATGGTTAGGCCGGATTTTTAGCATGTTTTCATTTGACTGAAGAAAGGTACATAGTAGCTAGCAACGTACGCGTAGTTATGGCATTCGAAGTCTTGTAATATAACGTTACATAGTGCAGTCCTTGACCTGCAACGTTTCATCAAGTGCACCTGTGTCTATAACGTTAAAGTGATTGACGGCACAGACTGGCGACCAACAAGTTACAACTCACACGCCAACAACGTTTCAACGTCTTAAATATGTGACTGGCAAGGATTATAATCTTGCGCAGTAGGCAATGTTGTCCTGACGTCACAAATAAGATTTGATTGGCAGCAAAGACAGACGTTCTGGACTGACTCACACATTTGTCGTGCATTTTACACGGCTTTAGATGTTGCCCTACAATGCATTCGATTCATTTTTCTGTGTGGTTAAGCAAATATTCTGTCCTTGTAGCTTTAAAAAAAGTGTCCACGAAGTCAAAGTAAGTAGACATTACATGTACATCTACTATTGGCTTCTGGACATAAACGAGATATGGCTGTCCCTTTGTTCTTGGGCATCAGGTGAGGTACTAGTATTCGGAAGGGTGTCATCTAGATGCCATCCCAGGGCGTACCGAGATAACATTTTCTCCTTCACAAATTTATTTAAGGGCCGATAACACGGAACGGACGTCAGGATGTGTTTGTAGACCCTTCACATGATGTTGTTGAAGATGTGATGATAGCACTGTAGTTCCGATCTACTGATGATGCACTTGTAATGGATCATCATCTACCAGAGTTAGAGTGTGAGGCAGTAGCCTAGTAACCATCCCATAGGCGTGGCATAGGGGTGTTTTAGCAGACCCTTCCCTGCACAGCCCAGCTTAATATAGCCTGGGTACCAGACTCTTTCCAGGGCCTACGTACAGGCTAGTTCCTCGGCTCCAGTGCCAACATGCCCCCAAGGAAATTATACCACAGCCACCCTCAGTTAGGGCCTGAAACATTCCCCGGGATGTGCCAGTTAATCTGGGCTGGGGGGCAACACTCACACTAACCTAGGGGTCCAGGGAATCTTACGATAGGCTGGAACCAGGCTAGTATGTTTCTTCTTTTCAAGACATGTGACATCAGATGTTTTGTCTTATGTGGTATCCTGCACCTAAAGTGCCACAAAACATACCAATATCCTCATAGCTACATGTTCAGGATAGTCTCCTAGAATTCAGGACTGTCTTCATCGTTCTACTCGGCGATCGGAAGAAAGGACACATTGAGGTCATCTGTGCAGTTCCATTTGGCATTTCACAGTTACTAAAGACAAAGATGACGCATTTCTGTGTATGTATGACTCCCACCTCCTTCCCACAATATTTGACCCAAAGTACAAAGTACGAGCATGTTCGGAAATTTCCACTGGCACCTGTGTTAAACACTTGTTTAATCATTGACGAGAACCATGCTTCTTTCGAACTACTGTTCTTTTGTTCGATTGTTCGATCATGAGTCCATGTCTTGGCCTATATATCACTCTGTCAGGGTTATACTTTAAATCCGAATTACTTTGGCCACGTCTTGACAGGTTTTTATTAGTGCCAATGTACTAGTCGTCTTTGAAGCCAGCATATTGCAGTCTTCACACATTTTGCCCGCACGTGGCGACACTCGCGATGATAAATTGTATTGTCTTTAGATATACTTGCATGCGATTGGTTTCTAGGGTACGCCCCTCAATATATCGTTAAATGTGTGTATATTAAGTGGCAAGTAGCAGACTTCTCGCAAAACGTTTTAAAATCCACTCTGGCTACTAGTTGCGATAAAAAAAAACATCCCTTATATTTGATGAAACATCATGGAATTATATGTGATATTTTTTCACCGCGAGGAAAGCTTTTTAATTCGTCATCTCGAAATATTCGTAGATCAAACTCAAAACTGTATTCTTTGTCAGTTGTCTATTTCTCCCGAAAGATCTTTTCTCCATAAATAACACGAATTCGCACAAGTGCATGTGTAATAGGCTAGAATAAATTAGACCAGATTGCTCGTCGTTACACAAAGAAGTTCTTTGCTTAAGCGTTCGCTTATCCCTCCAACCGTACAAGTTACAACAATGCCCTCTTATACACGTCCTACAGAGCAATATAGCATTAAAGGCATGTGAAGGTATTGCTATAGCACCTATTGTGTACAAAAGGCAGTGCCGATACGTTATATATTAGCTTTGTTATAAGGGGCGTGGTGTTTATTTGTGTTGTTGAGGGCAATTAAGTCTGTAAATTGTTTTTGCAGAGGTAGCACATTAACCAACCATAAATAATCAGTGTGTTCGACAAGCAGCCGACCCAAATCTTTCAAACGCTTCCAACTACCGTGACCAAGCTTGTGTGTATTGGACGGTCTTTTGTGGACTGTTAAAATTAGTTCTGCATTTCTTTGTTACTCCTTTGTTGTCTCAGTCAGGATGTAAAAATAGAGCTGCTGTTCTTGCAGTTATTTAAATGACCAAAAGTATGTTTGATATTAGGATATGGTGTCATTACTAGTAGTTAGAAATTGACGGGAAATATGGACATGCAACAAGTATCCCTGCAAACCTAATTATTTATTCCATTTATGTAGTTCAGAAAAGTATTTTACACTAACGTTTAATCGGAATTATAAGGATAATTGCATTTTTACCTCGTGTACAACAAAATTGTCTGCTTATAGTATAAAATGGGGGTAACATCCCTACTAGCCCATTACTTTATCAAACCTACTGGTTATGTGTGAAACATACAAGTTTAATTTACGTGATTATATTAAATAAGATTACGCTCATTTTGAATGTCCTTGACACTTCAAGTCTGACCCCGTTGTTAAATTAAGTCCTCAATGAACCTTGGTCCTCATTTGCATACAGTATTTGTATTCTATTCTGCCTGGTTATGCCAGTTAACCATGCATGCAAATTTTGTAGCCTATTTTTCCCCACATACAGCATATTTGTCTACTTTAATAGAGTAAAAGAGTAGCATAACGCCCCTTATATCCCATTAATTCACTAAGGAGATAAATTCTATTTTTTTATCTCATTTGACATTTGTACTTAGAAACTATTGACTTCGGATGCTGTTAAGTTATATATTAAACAAACCACCTGACTACTACTGGTTTAATGGTAACTTTCCATGACGTCACACATTTCTTTAAATAGCATGCTCATTTCTTGCTGATTCGGCAATATATATTTTACAGGGACACTTTTAATTTTTTAACTTTTTAGTTTTTTAAATGTTAAAATTTTTTTACATTTTTAATTTTTTCAAATTTGTTAAATTTCTCTAATTTTTAAGGTTTTAAAATTTTTTACTTTATTTTTTTATTTTTAATTTTTTCTTTTTTTCTACAAAGCTGTCAGAGAAATGTACTAGAGCTCCACGATCTTATACCTCCGCGAACACTCATGTTGTCATTTATTATGCACATGAATACTAACGTATGTTTGTCATAAATATAAAATGTTGAAATTGAGCTAGTATATTTGCCTTTAACAATATAAACCTGGCACTAATTTGCACACTCTGAGGTTATAGATGGTCTTCTATATCCCGATTTTTAGAGAAACGTTAATTCAACCCCCCCCCCCCAAGTCATTAGTTATGTAATCATAAAACTTTGGCCCCTCGGCCTGTCACATGGCGAGGTGGTGAACTAACATTGGCTCAAAGTTGACTTTTGGCCTTTGGCGCTGCTTTCCAAGCACAGGTTTGAGTTTTGCCTTTTTTGGCCAAAATACTCTCCAAGCAGAGGTTTGGGTTTTGGCTCATTTTGGGCGTATTTTTTTGGGGGGCTTTTTTATCGGGCTTTCCTTTTTGCACTGGTATTTTTTAACGTCAACCCAACGCGTAAAAATGTCAGTGATAGAAAGAACGATAAAAAGCCTAAAATCACGAAGTAAATAATCCAAAACCCAAAAATAAGCCAAACCCCAAACCTCTGCTTGGTGAGTACTTTGGTGCCTAAGAATACCAACGTCCTGTAGGTGACAAAATGGCCACCTTTGTCCCTTGTTTTTCTCCATTTCATGAGGTCAGGGCCTCGAAACGGGGACAAACAAAAAACAGGTTCCTCTGATATCAGTGTTGACAGGAGGGTTCAACCTCGTGGCCTTTGGATCAAGCAGAGCAAATAGAGCAGATTATGGCATTTTAACAGTATGGAAGTTTATAACTTTTGTAAAAACAAGACGCGTCGACGATTAAAGCAAATTTTAATGGGATGGAAGTTTACGAGTTTTGTAACGAATTCTAGATATTGGTTCAGAATTTTTAGTCCTCATAGGTAACCGCACATTGTTTTTGACGTGTATTTTTTTTTAGAACAGAGTTGTTTGACAGTTTGGTACCAGCTGTGATATGGATGAAAACACCTAATATCTAAAAAAACAAAAATACATCAAAAAGTCTGAAAATTACACGTGTCAAACAAGTATGAAACGTGGGCACACACTCTCACATATTCTTAGGCGGGCATAAAGTTTTTTTTATGTTAACTAGCAGGATTCTTAACACACAACTTCAACTTTCCAGGTTTAAACATCCAACATGGTGCGAACAATGCTTACATCACACAGTCACGTGGGTGCAAATAGAACACTGTATATTCTCTTATACGTACTTATAGTCACTCTCAATTCGATTTCCGGATATTTACATGAATCTTTTTTTTTTGCCATAGGAGCATTCCTGATCCCGTATCTGATCATGTTGATCATCGAGGGGATCCCGATCTTCCACATCGAGTTTGCGATCGGCCAGCGGATCCGAAAAGGATCCATCAGTGTGTGGAGCGCGATCAGCCCCTACCTAGGGGGACTTGGCTGGGCTAGTGTGGCGGTGTCGTTTTTCGTGGGTCTCTATTATAACGTCATCATCGCCTGGTGCATGTTCTACCTCTTCAACTCATTCCAGGTGAGCTACCGAAGGAAAACATTGTTTTTGCTCGGTTTCCTCTTCTTCCTCTTCTTCTCCAACCCGAAAAGGTCAATGACCTGAATCAGACGGCTGGCGCCGTGGTAACTGGTTTTGTGTTACATTATGTTGCAATTTTATAGCAGGAGGGATTTAGACTCCAGTCTGACCATATGTACGAATGTGTTTGAGTAAGAATTAACAGAGCAGACCTATGCGAAGGTAAATATTATGCATTTGCTTCGCAAATGTTACCTTTCTAGTTTCTACCTTTTCCCTCCCTTTTGCGTAGTCGCCCTTGCCGTGGTCGTCTTGTCCTGGGAACGGGACGGTTCCCGAGTGCGAGGCGGCGTCCCCCACGTCGTTCTTCTGGTACCGCGAGACGCTGGACATCACCAGGTAGATTAACAAAACCTCATTGTATTAACTATATAGTATAACGTAGCTTAGCACCTACATGTAGAATTATAACAGATCTTTATATAGTCAGTAATTTAGTCAACACTCTGTATAGTACCCATGCAACCTGCATAGTATGTATACAACTCTTATGTGTACAACAGTCTTAGGAATATAGTATAGCGTAGCTTAGAACATACGTGTAGAAATGTACTAGCTCTTAGTTTTATTCAACATTTTGTCCCGTTGAAATCATATGTAGAATCTTAATAGACTAGTTAGTAAGATTACTAGTTGGTATTACAACTAGTAATCTTATTATTATCTGCCATACATTGTACCTGTTACGATCGTTGTGCAATAAACTTTGACTGTGACTCACCAGGGACATAGAGGAGAGCGGAGGTCTGGACTGGAGACTGACCCTCTGTCTCTTCTGCGCCTGGCTCATCGTCTGTATGGCCATGATCAAGGGCATTAAGTCTTCAGGAAAGGTAGGAGTCGTTTAAATTTTTGTTAGCTCAGCCAACCAAAACAATACATCTGTACCCTGAAGTAAGAAAGAATAAATTCAGATTGGTCATAATTCAAACAACGCCTATATAATTATAATTATATAAAGGGCTGTTTAAAACCAATCTGAATTTATTTTTTTACTTCTCAGTTCAGGGTACAGATCTTTTATGGCTGAGCTGTGGGTCTGCTTGTCTATTCATCTGGATAGAGTAGGTTGACAGGACGTGGGTGAGGGCAGATTGATTGACAGAAGGTCATGAGGTCTGAGAATTTGAGCCAGTGGGAATCAGGAGTTGACATGGGGGTAATTCAGGAAGCCAAGGATTGCATACATCCTGAAGTCTGAAATCCCTGATTTCTTGTATTTACACCTTTTGGAATTTTACTCCTCTTTTATGTCATTTAACGTATTCATAGACAATTTGAACTTTATGACTGCCCATTCGTAACATTTGGTTGGATTTTAAACATCACTAATTCCGTTTCCAGGCTATCTACTTCACGGCCACCTTCCCGTACGTGGTGCTGCTGATTTTCTTCTTCCGCGGAGTGACGCTAGAGGGCGCCGGGGACGGCTTGGCGCGTATGTTCACACCGAGGGTCAGTATTCATAATAACATCGCCCAAGTATTAGACTATGTTTACCGAAGGAAAACATATTGTTTTTGCTCAGTTTCCTCTTCTTCTTCTTCTTCAAACACCGACCCCTGACCTTGTCAATGACCTGATTTGTTGACGTCTCTCAACATGGTAACTGGTGTTGTGTTACATAATGTTGCAATTTTATAGTAGGAGGGATTTATACTCCTATCTGACTATATGTATGAATGTATTTTGACTAAGAATTAACAGAGCAGACCATATGCGAAGGTAAACATTATGCATTTGCTTTGCAATTGTTACCCTTCTAGTTTCGGCTTTCAAAGAAAAAATGCTCTATTTTATGATAGTAAAGTTCTTTACTCACAACCACTTGTCTAACAAGAGTCGATGTTTCGATGACTGTCTGTCATTTTCATCAGGGCAATTATGACTGGTTCGCTATATACAAACGGATTTAGAGCATATCAAAATTAACATGAGAATGACGGTATTTTTTTCCAAACCAGGTGGACAAGCTGACCGACCCTGTCGTGTGGTTAGAGGCAGCTACTCAGGTCTTCTTCTCCCTTGGCGTTGCCTTTGGCGGTCTGATCTCCTTCTCAAGCTACAACCCCAGGTAAGGGACTTTTACTTCAACTTATGTGCCGAATTCTGGTCTCACCCAGTCAGGCTACGCAAGATGAAGTTAGTTCCACTCGACATTATTGAGTTTTCTATGGCTATGATCACATAATCAATCATGTAAAACCTGTAACATTTTCACCTTGGTCAAATTTGGACCCAAAAGTACCCAAGTTTTTAAGAATCTGAACCATGTTCGATAGTGTTCGATCTGACGTAATTCGAACCGAACGCGTGTTCCATTCCACACAAACACATTCATAGACACCCACCCACACCACACCACATCGCGCACACACACACACACACACACACACACACACACACACACACAAAGGCATTAATGCTGACATTTTGTTTTGTTTTGTGTCTGTAGGAAGAACAACTGCACACGAGACGCCGTCACAGTGGCCCTCATCAACTCGGGAACGTCCATTTTCGCCTGTGTGGTGATTTTCTCCGTCCTGGGATTCAAGGCAACACACGACAGCCAGAAGTGCCTAGACGAGTAAGTATGACGACATGACACTTCAGTTTGCCTTGTATAGATAAAACTTCTTTGTTTGAAACAACAAAATATATAAGCGATTTGCGATTGGCTAGTATACTTTCTTCTTGGCTTGGCTTCGAGTAGAAGACAGTATACTAGGTCTGTAACAATCGTGAAAGGAGGAAAAAAGATACAAAGGCTAACTCTGGCTCACGGGATCTAACCCGCACTACACGCGGCATGTCAGTTCACAACGGAACGCACGACCGCTAGGCCAAAAGGTCCAGGACCCATTGCATGCTATGAGATACCTTTACTGTTGAATTCCATAATCTCCAAGCAGATCTTTCGGTGGCAAGACAGTATCCATTGGCCAAAGGAGTGTCCATTAGCCACCGAAGGGTTGGGAAATGGATACAGGATGGCCAATGGATACAGTCTTTTGCCATCCAACCGAAAGATCTGTTTTGAGATTAGAATTCCATCCAAAATTCGTCTCGTTTCCTGTTGCAGGTTTTCCTTGGTTCTCCAGAGGAGCGTACCAGACTTCAACGACACGGTAACCAGGGGTAACTACCTGGACTTCCAAATGGCCTACAACACAACTCCTGCCATCAGGGATTTCGACTTCACCACTTGCGATAAAGAGAGAAATTTGGACACGGTATGTCGCCTCTTTATCCTACTTTTGAGGAAGTCATTTTTGTTTTTCTTATGACGGTGACGGTTTTGTTTGGGCTGGGCTGAGACGATATGTTACAATTTGTTTACAAAATTGTTTTAGAAAAAAATAAAATTTGTTGAAATTGCAGTTTTCTTTAAAAGTCAGGTTTCAGTGCACCGAATCTTAAAATGAAATTCTCAATTTGTCAAAGATATCCCAATATACATAGACGTGTGTGTTATCAACGCTTATAATGAATATATCGCGTGTCTGCATTGCACTGCACTAAACATGCATGGCAGCCATAACGGTCTGTTTACACGTGACGTCACATTCAGCCGTCGCCATGTTGGTGGAATCTCACGGATCCAAGATGGCGATCGACCGGTCATTCCAAACACAAACAATGGCTGTTTTTTATCGTCTATTCCTCTCTAAATATGGCGAAAAGGAAAAGCTAGGTTGCCGTATCCGAAAGAAATGTTAAGACCATTTCTTACACGATGACGTCGATCGTGTCTTTAAACCACCAATATGGCGGACGCTACGTTACGTCACAGTCACGTGGTTGCAAACAGACTGGTGAAAATTACTTGTTTTTCTAAAGGATTTTAGTTGGAATTTGATTGAATGGTGCTGAGCACATCATTGAATATAAATATCAAACTGGTTCCAGCATCATTCAATCATTTTTCATTACGTTATTATTCTTTAGAAGAACATGTGATTTTTACATGCATTGTACATAATCTGGTACATGCACTCATGTAATGTTTATGAATGCAAGTATCAGGGTATTTATATTGAATATATATTCCCAGGGAAGCTTTTAAGTGCAGTGCAAGGCAGATAAACATTTTGCAGAAGCGTATACAACACACACGTCTGTGGCGGAAAATCTAGAGAAGACAGTCTGTTTTGCCCAGCTCAGACAATAGCCACAACCGGAACGCTGATTTTGAACGCTGCAAACTTCTTCGATCGCTTTTGGAAGCAAAAAAAAACTACATTGGAAAAAGAAACGTTACATAAAAATGTAACATAAAACGGATTAAGGAAAAGACTTCCAACGAGAAAACTTACGCATTCTGTCCTATCGCACTCTCCAAGACCTTTAATTTGCTGCTGCTGCTTTCAGAAAATTATATTTTTGGCGTATAGCTAGCTTTCAAAATTTTCCCCCTTTTCTACCTCTCTGTTGATAATCATATGCTCTTCATCTTCCCGGCTCTGAGCACTTGAAATTCGCTTGTAAGGCATCTTCCATCCCCTTGCCAACCTGCATGAAGCACATTCCTTCAACTGCACGTTTTTGTTTGAAAACATGTTGTTGGTTGCGCCGCCATGTTTCATCGCTGCGATCTAGCATTGTTGACAAGTTTTGGAAGTCTTGTTGATCCCTAGAAAGTTTTGACGCCTTTAAGTTTATTGGTTTATGAATAAATTCTCAGGTTTAGCCACCCAAAATGTAATCTACTAGAAGACATGTAGCGCTAAACTTACAATTGTGGTCGTTTTGATAAACTGTAACAGAGATGTGAGAAAGATGGATGGAAAGTCACATTCAATGATCGACCATCGATGAGATGTGGTGGCCCAACTGTACACGTGTCGCTGTGGATAAGGAGGGAGGGGGACGTGCTTGTGACACAGCAAAGATCGTTGAAACGTAAACAAAACTTCATGTTTGGTATAATAAGCTGTTGCCTGTCAACTGCAACAACTTGGCATGTTTTTCTGACATTACCAAAATTGGTCGTTTTTATAATCATTATCTAAACATAAAGTCAACCTTTGAAAATTTTAACGTTTTGTTGGTTAACTTTTACACTGTTCCTGTTTGCATAGCCATATCCAAAAGTATATTTTATAAACTCTCTGACAAGCACGCCCCTTGCACGCCTCTCCATCCACAAAGTCACGTGTACCTTCTCACGGGTGCATGTTCTTACTAACCCCATCTAAGTCAGGTTGCATGCGGCCATCACGTGAACCACATGAAGACCGCTCCTATCGACAGTTGAAGTAAAAATGTTGTTTTTCTCCATAGTTTTACTTCATGACACAATGAAATATATAGTTTATGCTGCTTGTTATAATAGTAAGAGATAATGAGCATTGGTGTATGCTGATATGAATACGATAGGAAAAGTTCAAACAAGTACAAGGCAATAGATGTATCTAGTGAATAGTGCCTTTCACTTTTACTTGAATCAGAAGAGGAATATGTATACGTAGTGCCTATGGCAGTCTTCCCTGATTCGACTCAATCACATCTAATTTGACGATAAGTAACGTAGTTTTTGTACCTGATTACTTTTGTTTGTACTTATTGGTTGTTACATATTTGGAATAAGACACGTAGAGATGCAAGTGTTTATGTGGGAATGGATACGAGTAAATTGTATGAAAACCGAGTGCTATGGTCAGTTTTCCATCTAAAGGAGCTCGAGAAAATCTAAGCTTGGATTTTAGATGATTGTGTATAATGTAACGGTTGGGTGGCGTTGCGTTAATTCCAGACGTGCAGCGGTGTTGTAACCCTCCCCAGGCCGGGGTGCCGTCTGGACGCTCGGCTCGGCGGTGTGGGGTAGGACTGTGACGTGTCAAGTTCCAGAACTTTCTTCACTTCACGTTGATAAGAACATTTTAGGCGATCAGAACAAAACTAGGGACTTGCAGAATTGTTTACCCCCTTACTTCACATTGAAAAGGAAAAAAAAATTAGACGATCAGAGAAACAACCCTTAAAGGGCGACGTGATAGGCCATTTCATAGCTCGGAGTGCGCATGTGCAGTCGTGGTGCGTTGTGGTCTATGTCAAAGTTCACGATTCGATCGCTAGTGAACAGGCGCTTTTACAAATATGATGCTCTGCTGCCTTACAAAGGACTGCACTCATTTTCCGTCATTGTACAAATGTGACTTTCTTCCGTGTTGCAAAAACGTCTAGACAAGTGGGGGATGTTTATTAGCGACTGCACACGCGCACTCTGAACTCTTGAGATGGCTTATTGTTTTGTTTCAAGTAAGTTTCAATGAAAAACTGGCCAAAAAATTTCCTGAGAATATACCAACGTAAGGACCTATTGTTATGACGTTGTTGAAACAAATGTGTTGTGGCTTATGTCAGGTATCCCATGCCATCACACAAAGTGAAAATAAAATCCAAATATCTATGTTGTAATCAAACTCAAGTGTAGTTTCTTAGTACCAAATTTGCGTCAGTAGGCCTGCATACTTGTTAGATTTCGTGAACGAAACTTTGGAGTGGAAAAACATGTGGAATGTCAGGTAGCTATTAAAGAGCAATGTTATGTTTTTTAAAACCAGTCTTGTTTTCAGCCCCTTGACAAGTCCCTATGATGAGGGCGTCATCCTGACACATCAATGAATAACTTGTGGCTTCAAACTCGTCTTTTCCAGGCCGTGGAAGGACGGGGCTAGCCTTCATAGTCTTCACCGAAGCCATGAACCAGTTCTACCCCCTGGCGCTCGGTCCTCTCTGGTCCATCCTCTTCTTCTTCATGCTGCTGAATCTCGGCCTGTCGTCCATGTTCGGCACGCTAGAGGGCGTCCTTACACCGATCCTGGACTCCGGCGTCTGGAAGTGGAGGAAAGAGTTTCTTGTTGGTGAGCAAAAAAAAAATAACTAGAAACGTAACATTTGCAAAGCAAATGCATAATGTTAACCTTCGCATATGGTTTGCTCTGTTAATTCTTAGTCAAACACATTCATATATATGGTCAGGCAAGAGTCTAAATCCCTCCTACTATAAAATTGCAACATGATGTAACCCAACACTAGTTACCATGGTAACAGACACAGCATTGGCTCGCTCAGGTCATTGAGGTCACTGGAGAAGAAGAAGAAGAAACTGAGCAAAAACAATGTGTTTTCCTTCGGTAAACATAAGAATCATATGATCCTAGAATACAGTCCAACTTTTGGTAGGAGACAACACTTTTATTTTACATTGCAAAGTTAAAGTTTACTCCACCATAAAGAAAAACAATTGAACATTAATGTAACTTCTTTCCCCCTTCCACAGTCACTCTCTGCGTAGTGAGTTTCCTGATGGGGCTGATCTTCACCCAGAGATCAGGTAACTACTGGCTGGACATCTTTAACGACTACAGCGGAACCTTCCCGCTACTGCTCATCGGTTTTATAGAACTCATCGCCGTTATCTGGGTCTACGGGTTTAACAGGTGAGACAAGTGGTATAAGCTTAAGATTGCCTTATTTCTGAATACGGTAATCTTTGTGATATTGACACATACTGCTTCAGCAGATTTGAGTGAGTATTCCATACTTTGGGCATATAAAAACTGCAGAAACAAGCCCCAAGACGAGTCCTTTATTTTCTTGGTGGTACCCAAAAATCAGCCCAGGGCCCATCAGAATTTTGGGAAGATTAATTTCAATATACATTGGGACAGTGTGGTTTCAACTCACTATCTAGGTAAATGACTTGATCATATTGGCTTTGAAAAATCAGGTTTCCAAGCCCTTAAAACTGCATTGGATACCTTTAAAGTGTTACATAAATGGAATATCGTAGTCAGCAGAATACTCGATAAATCTCTTGTACGTTACAGTCCCCGCTTCACGGTAACGTATATGATCATGACGTCACATGGCTTCTATTTTGATTGACAGGTTATCAGACGATCTGGAGTACATGACGGGTTCCCGCCCGAACATCTACTGGAAGGTCACGTGGCTGTTCCTCAGTCCGCTGTCCATGGGCGTTATCTTCGCAGCCACCATCTACAGGGAAGCTAGCAGTTTTCCCGCCACGTATCAGAGCTGGGACCACATAAAGGTATTAACCAATAGACTACATAGACCGGCATTTGCTCGGGAGCAAATGCAGCATATTTCAGTCCATCTCCCACCCCTATTCCAAATGAGCTGTTCCATATCAACCTTCTGCATCCAGTATCAAGTGTTTCAATACCCCTTTTAGGGAAGACTCGGGGTGAGCGATATGCTTAGAGAATAAAAAAAAAAGAAAACGTAGAAAAGAAAGAAAGAAAATAAAGATATTTGTTCTTTTATTTCATGTTATGTTATGTTATGTTATGTTATGTTATGTTATGTTATGTTATGTTATGTTATGTTATGTTATGTTATGTTACGTTATGCTATGTTATGTTATGATGTTTTTTTTTGTTGGTATCTTGTAAGCCCAGCTTGTAGTCGCAAGACATAATAACAAACTTTCATTCATTCATTCACATTCATTCATTCATTCATTCATTCCTTGTCTTCCAGGGAAGACTTGGAGAGAGCGAGCCGTACCCGTGGTACGCCATGATGACGTGTTACCTCCTGGTCATCCTGCCCCTAATCTGCATTCCCATCGTCGCCATCCGGAGGATATTCGTCCCTTACGACGGAGAGACCGTCCAGCCGGTAGAGGGCGCTCGCTGGAACCCGTTCAGGAAAAACCAGCCCAAGAAATCCGCAAACGTATCCTCGTCAGGTTTGGATGGGATAGTCAATCCAGCGGTCACTGAATTGTAAATAACTTATATATTATATAAATGGTTTATTCACAAATTGACTTAAAAACTACATTGCAGCCTAATAATACAAAGAAAAAAGGCTGAATTACGCAGCCTCAATATTTACAAACACAACCAAACTGAATTTGACTTGGGGCTTCGCAATCTTAGATATTTGAGGAAGATGTAAAGTTTTAGACTAGGGAAGACTTTGTATCGTATAAATATGAATGATTCACATTGTTTGTTTTTTAATTATGGGAGGGTTTTTTTTAGAGAGGAAAGTATTCAAATGACAACAGAATCTATCAATATCCTTCATTGTGCAATTTTGGTGAAAAAAGACTAAGGTTGTTTAATTTTCCATGTTTAGTTTTGAACATTTTCTCTGTTGTGTCAGATTCAAATTCTATCGAACACTGCACAAAAAATGGACATAGTAGTGTGATAACTGTTACATTGGATACTTTCCTCTCGTTCTATCATTATATTTCTATTGCTACATTTTAGGTCACAACTACAGTTGTCAACGTTACAGAGTGCATGACTACATGTCCTGTATGTAACTCCGATCTCAGGATGTTGTCAAGGTAAATCCCGGGAGGGGGAAATTTCCTGGCAAATACGGAGGGGTTCAGGACAGAATATTCTAGAAGTGTAAAAATCATTCGGCCACACTCCAAACTTTCTTAGGAATCTACTCGAAGAATTTGTCTTGTACTGCAAAAACAAACTTTTGGGTAAGCTTGAGAAAAATCAAAATTAACCATGGTTTGAATGGCACAACGAGAACCCCACCCTGTTTGCCCACATACCCCTCGCTGGGATGACATTGACAGTTGCAATAGTGTATACTTCACATCCCATCTCAGGACTAGACACGGCCCTTAGTTCGGCGCATTGATTTCTTTTCTCATGTTGTGGAAAATGTCTCCCTGTTACATATCTAGATGTATGTCCTCCCGCATGAGAAAAATTGGTGACCGCTATGATTCGGTCATACAACCCAATTCGTAATACTTTTCATGTTGGGAAACATCGAAGTTTGCCACCTTGCGATGACCGATGAAATTGCACACTTTCGGATCACAGGGTGACTGAAAAAATATACTGTATTGTTTGATATGTCCATACGTACTTAGTATATCATTAGCAAATATCTGTTCATTTTCATATGTGATAGCCTGTTGTTTAGACTACAGATGGCAGCTATGGTATTTAGATTCTGAATTTGAGAAAAAAAAGAACGCTATTTAGTTAATGATACGTCACACGTTTGTGATGAACGATTATTGAAAACCTTAAGTTAGCCCTTTTAGTTAATGATTTTTCGTTAGTTAGGTATAAGAAGCCCACAAGTTATCAATAGTTATCTTACTCTTTGTTTATTACTATGTAAAAAGATACAATTAATACAATACACACCTAACAACATTATATCATTATCAACATCTTCGAGTCACTGTATTTATATTTGTGAAGAGCAAACGTTGTTTGGATGATATAACGTATTATCAACTTGTATATATTATGTATTCTGTACATGTAGATTTGTCCGTTGAGATATAGCACGGACAAATAGAGTTCATTCTTTATAATTGTACTATGACAAAACGAAAAAAAAACACTCTTTCATTTTTATTGTTTTACTATCATCATTTTAATGAAAAATTGTAATATATTGATTAATATTTCATAACATATGTTTATTTCAGATTGCATTACTCCAGAAAACTTTGTACAAGATTTTATGAATCTACTTTTAATTTTTATGAACAAGCAAGATGTATTTGTTCTCAACTGCCTTGTTTTCAGTTATACACAAGGTACATCAAGAATTTCGATACCAAACTTAAATGAACTCATAACGTTACCTCTATGTTTAAATTTACTTTCAGAATCAGCATAATTTTTATGTTAATGTGAAATAATTTTTCACCAATTTCACTCGTTTTTGTCTGATGAATGTAAACTGATCAAAATAAATACGGATTGTATTTGTACAGTTAAAACATTGTCAACTGTTTTTCTTTCTTCCCACTAAGTACAAAGGACGTACCCGTTCACATGGGTCGTACGATAGTCGTGCGTTTGTCGTACAACGTTCAGCTTAAGTCTTACGGAAAAGGCTGTCTGCCTTAGATCTTTTTCGGTGGTTGGTTCTGCTTGAAATTCTACCGCGTCGCAAGATAACGTTTTTTTTAGCTTGCTGTGATAGTGGCACTATTACTGTACAGTAACTCTTACATATGCGGGGAACGAAACATACATTTTCCCCACACAAATTTTCATGCCTGAAAGAGCAGGCGAAAGAAACTACGCACATACATGTATAATGTAAGTCTCAATAATTGCTACTGGTACGTACGAAGGCCCGTAAGTACAGGCCTGCGTGTCTGAAACGTGGACGTGGAAGGTATTCGCGCAGACACGCAGGTCTGTACTTACGGGCCTCCGTAGGTACAAACTATAACGCATGAAACGTTTCTCTCGAACATTTCCATACGCCTAGACGTTATAATGTGATGTTAAGTTCTGAGGTGGTATCTTATGGCGTCACAATGACCAATGACGTCAGCACTGACGTCACGACAACGAGTGACGTCATCACTGCGTCTTACTGCGCCTGCGCCTGAAGAGCACGTTCCTCATGTTGAGGATCTTGGAGCGTTTCTCCATCGCCTCCAGGTGCTTGAGGAACTCGCACTTCACCTCCCTGATCAGTCTGTGGAACACGCTCGCCACGCTGTCATAGCCGTCCGCCACGGAGATCTGGGAAGGTAAGGGATACAAGACATGAGTGAAGAGACTCTTTTTACACAACCGTCTTTTATTCAGCCGACGTTTCGGCGACCGCTTATGTGTAGATATGTAAATATTGTACATTTGGGAATGCATCTATAGCAGCGACACCTGTGCTGTAATAATGTGACAGACGGTCACCGAAACGTCGGCTGGGAATAAAAGACTTGGGTTGCGTAAAAGAGCCTCTTTACCCGGAAAGCCGCAGTGAACTATTATATAGGGTTGTATTTCCGTTAGGAGACTAGACTCGGACAGGAGAAGACATCGTCTCGGCAACAAGCATTTGTCTTATCTGCGTATGGTTTTGGGGAAGAACTTCTAGCCTCTGGGACAGGCCCAAGTGTAGCTGCCCCCCTCCCAACTTGCTGACAACATTTCTACAGTGTCTCTGGCTGGTGCCGATTGCGAAGAATTGGACACTACAGGGGCCGACATAAAGAGACCATTCTCGGAAACACACAGCTAGAAGAGCTTGCTTGCATCAAACAACAGGTAAGCAAGGATACTTCAAACTCTTCAGGTTAAGTAGACTTATCATAAATATTGATGAAAATCCCTTTAATGTACTTTTTTAATCTCCAAGCAGAGTTTGCTCCTCTGGCCAATAGATACTGCCTTGCCACTGTATGATCTGCTTGGAGATTACATACTTTCACTGGAGTGATTTGGCCCCGGTCAAATCAGTTAATTAACGGACTATCCCCGAACTCACCAGGGGGGCCAGCCACCACGAGATCGGTCATTCTGAGATTTCTGCCGGGGTGAACACACGTGTTTTCCAGTCCCTCAGTAAACAATCGCGAATTAGCAGACTCAACTACTGCGTTCGAGAACCACCTCATACCTGACGGAACAACAGTTTCAGCGAGTTTTGCAGACCACCCCGAGTCTGTTTTTTTCCTCCCCACAATGCCACGAAAGAAGAAGTGTCCCGGGTGTGGGGAAGACCAGGCTCTCCACAAGCCGGGCACTGCCAACAAACACTGCGAGGGTCTGCCCACTCCAGGCTTGCCCCCCTCGGCAAAGAAAGGGGAAGAGACGACACAGGGACCAAACTTGGAGGCACTGCAACAACCCAAGCTGGACTTACAGCGCGCCCTTGAGGCCAAAAAGCTCCAGGCAGAAATCGACGAATTGGAGAAACAGCTGGCCGGAGATGCTCCGTCCGAGTTCGGCGGCAAAAAGAAGACAGCGGAAGAGACCACCCTGGTTGACAAACAGAACACAGGAGAAGAGTCCACCTCGGGTGCCGAAAAGAAAACAGGAGAAGAGTCCACCTCGGGTGCCGGAAAGAAAACAGGAGAAGAGTCCACCTCGGTTGACCGCAAACACTCCCCGCCCGAGTCTACCCTGGAAAAAGACTTGTCGAACCTTCGACTCGGAGCTGTTTCGGGCTCCTCACCTACCGCTCTACTTGGAAAAGACGATGTCACGTTAGAGCAACTGCGCCAGAACACCGCATTGCAACGAGCAGTGGAGGCCAAATTTGATGCGCTAGCCGCACCAACCAAGTCGGCCAAGGGTAAGAGATCAATCCTCTCTCCTGAACAATTTGTGTTCTCGTATGATTCCGCCGAGCCAAAAAAGTATGATGATCCGACGCAGGACGAGTTCCTGAGCGGCTACATGGGGCTTTTCTTGTCCCCGGACCTACCAGACTGGGAACACCAGGGGCGGCTGAAACTCATGCGGTTTGTGTGCCATCGTCTCACCCGGTACACATGGGCCACCGCCCGAGCTTTCCACCACGCCGCCATTCAGCGAGCCCTCCGGGACCCGTCGCGGTGGCAGACGGACTGGGACGAGCTCAAGGAGTTCTACTTTGATGGAGATTCTACCAAGTTGAAGCCGACTGGATCGACCTCGTCCGCGGACGGGGGAAAGGCACGCACTGCAGCAAGACCGTGCATCGAGTTCAACAAGGACGAGTGCCGTTCGTCGTCCAACACATGCAAGTGGGACCATATCTGTTCTAACTGTTGGGAGAAAGACGGGCTTAGGTTCAGACACGCTGAGTCGTCGTGCCGACGTAAACCAAGCAAGAAAGATGACAAGAAAGAAGACACGACCGCGACCGCGTGACAAACTTTCCCTACCGGTAACGTTAGCCCTTGTTTATCGACTTCACACGCAAGTCAAAGTAAGGCATGTTCTTCCTCATGTTTTTCTGTCGGTTACGAGTCTTTGTATAACGCCGACGTCGCACCAGATGTTACGATTAGTGACGATACGCATAGTTATCATGTCGTTTCTAATACTTGTACTACCGTTACGCCTGTGTATCCTTCTTTGACGTCCAACATGTCGGATCGCGAACAAAATGTTGTGACAACTTTACCTAATGCAAACGAGAGAGTTACTGAGTTTGATCTGCTTAGCTTAACTAACCCCAACGGGGACTCCGAGTTGCATGGTTGCCTTAGTTCTTATACTTGTATAGGCACAGATCATAGCCCCCAGTCGGGCGAGTCTGACTTTAATTGTACTACTTGTATCGGCACCGATTCTAGCCCCCAGCTGGGTGATAGTGATTCTTACTTTATTTGTAATTTGAACATGTCAGGCAGTGGTATGTGGATCCCACACGGGACAGTAGATCAGCTGGTGTCAGCTACAGGCTCCCTAGTAGATCTTCCCCACGCTACGGGCGAGTTGTCGGATGATTGCATTTCTAGCTACCTAGCTACCCCAGGCTTGCCCCTTTCCCACGGTCGGGAAATTTCCTCTGTGCCACGTTGCTTACCAGGCCCTCTACCAACCCCTGCCCCACGCCTGGCCGATTTCCGTCTTTGGCACCACGCGGTGCGCACATCTGGCCTTCCCAATTATCTAGGGGAAAAAATCGCAGTCCCGACCAAATTGAACATTCCGGTCTGGCGACAACTCCTAGGCGGTTACCACGACAACACCCTCTGCGATTTGATAGAGTTTGGTTTCCCAATCAATTATGTCTCAGCTACCCAGCCCAAGGTGCCAAAGACTAATCACCCCTCAGCTATCAGCTACGCGGATCATGTAAACAAACACATCCGCACAGAACTGGCCCACGGCGCCACTATTGGCCCAATAACAACAGATTTCTTCGCTGAGCCCTTGATCTGTAACCCACTACAGGCAGTCCCCAAGAAAGATTCCAATGACAGACGCGTCGTGGTTGATTTTAGCTTCCCGGACTTTATGTCCGTCAACGCGGGTATCCCTACTGCCTGTGGCCGCGATTCCAGCGCACCCGCTCTGCCCCAGGCGGGCTTACCTCCACATGTGCCCCGTCATTCATGCGCCGCCGACGTCACCGGCCTTCCTCGTTCCACGCGCCGGCGCCGGTTTCGTTCCTCTCACCCATGACTCTCTGGTCAAACACCTGAAGACTTTGCTCGAACACGCCGGCCTCCCCGCGGCGCAGTATTCCGGACACAGCTTCCCCCCCCCCCCTCAGCACTCCCACTTATCCGACAACTCCCTCGCAGCACTTACATTGTCGTTCCTAGCGCTTAGCTACCAAGTTGTGGTTGCCATAGTACTAGTACGTGGTTTCCTCTCAGACATTAGTCTACCATTGTCAGTTAGATGTTTTGTTCATCCATTGTATCTAGTTTCTTCTTAGCCTAGCCTACCACTGTTACTAGTAGTACGCTGCCGCTCACAGTCGTATTACCTACATTTGCTGTTCTCTCCATAGCACAGATTACTGCTGTTAGCTAGCCGACAGGCGCAAACTAGCATGTCTGCGTCCCTTAGGCCCCGTTGGGCATTGTTTGTGGTTTTTACATAGCCAAATTTTTTTTCTCTCTCTTCGTAGCACAGACTACCTGTGACTGCTTCGTAGGCCCCGTTGGGCTTGTTCTTTTCTAGTTAGCGATTCCAATATGTATTTACATATATATATACTTTATAATTATATGTATTTTCCTGTTGTTTACACCGCTGTTACGAAGTTCCTTGTAAGACAATGCAGTTCCCAGTTTTCATGCTCCGATGGCACATGTAATGGCTGGTCCCCCTGTCCCACTTACCTGCACTCTCCGCCTCCTCCCCTTCCTTTTTCTCCCTACGGGCTTGGTCCTGGTGGATTTCTACAGTCTTTCCACTGAATAAATATTTACCAAGCCCACTCCACTTTGTCATTCTTGTCTGGAAGAGAGAGTGCAGGTAATTGGAGTGATTTGGCCCCGGTCAAATCAGTTAATTAACGGACTATCCCCGAACATCACCAGGGGGGCCAGCCACCACGAGATCGGTCATTCTGAGATTTCTGCCGGGGTGAACACACGTGTTTTCCCCACCCACCCTCCCGTGGATTTCTACAGTCTTTCCACTGAATAAATATTTACCAAGCCCACTCCACTTTGTCATTCTTGTCTGGAAGAGAGAGTGCAGGTAATTAAGTTTCTGTTAGAAACAACTTTAGAGTGTATATGGAGCGGCACACGTACGCAAACTTTCCTTGTTTTGTTGTGCCCTTCTAGGTGGAAAATGGCGTAGATCTTATCCAAATTTGTGTGAGAAAAAGTTGTTGACACCCTAGCGAAGGTCTAGAAGGGGTTATGCGGTCTCCTCAAATGTTGGAAATCAAACACGACAACAAAAGTGCTTGCTTATTGTACAAATATATTATATAAACGCCTTTCTATAATCCACAGTTGATTTTGCAGACAAAGGGTAATTTTGGGGTTGAAATTTTGACGTTCTTTTGATATAGAATATTTTGTAAACCCGCAAATGTGCCTCGTAACGGTCTTCCCGCCCAGACATCTGGTTTCTATCATGGAGGAAAGGTCTGGAGTCAGGGGAGGTTCATTAACGGAATTAGGGAGGTTTCCCATTCAAGTGGAAGCTACCCTAAACGCTATCAAGCACTTGCTTAGGGACTGTACGATATTTACCGGGGGGGGGAGGGCTGGTGCACTGGGGGGGGAGGGGCCATTGAAAATTTTTTTTTGGCCTGGGGGGGAGGGGCCATGGAAAAAAAATTTTGAGCCGGGGGGAGGGCCATCGAAAAAAAAAATTGGCCTGGGGGGGAGGGCCACCGAAAAACTTTTGTAAAATATGGCGTCGCGTAGTACCGAATTACAAGAAATACGCCGTAAATTCCCGAATATAGTACGCACTTTTTACATTTTTCAAAAATCCCAG